GGATGCGGATGAACATGCAGTGCTCTGTACAAAAGACAGGACCTACGATCTTAAAATCGCCGACACATCCAATATGCTGATGTTTGTACCAGACTGCCGAACACCAGACCAACTCACTAACAGTCAGGAAAACTCTCACATTGTGCACACTCAGGTATGGAAAGGACACTGAATGGATCCGGCCTGGTATACTGTGACACCTGCACAAACCCCACTGTGTATTATGTGCAATTATGACCCAAAAACTCTAAGAAAGTATACCTCTGTTGTAGATCTGGGGATTTAGTAACAGCTACTGGGAGCTGAGGAAGCAGCGGCCTAAGCTGAAGAAACTGAAGAAGGTCTTAATGGAGAATCCTTACGAAGGACCTGCTTTAGGGGGGAAGGAGGAGGACACCGAAAACAGGGTAAAACATATTCTACAATGAAGTCATTCAATAAAAAGTCCTGTCAGACTGTGAGAATATACTTATAGCCAGGGCTTATCAGATCATTAAGGATTTCTAGCCATATTTTCAGAAGTGTTGAGTATTCTATCTTTTTTAATGTGATTGTAGCCTTTAGTAAGTGTGTGTTCCTCTGTTACCAGTACACAATGGAGGATCTGTTGGAGAGCATCCAGGCCAGTGAAGAGGAGCTGAAGACCAGTTTAGAAGCCGTCCACGCCTGTCAGATAGATGGTAAACGGGGACATTTCTTTATACAAACTACACATGTAGTACTAATTGTTCAAGTTGTGTTTGCTGCAAAGCCACAAATAGGTGCCACATTGCTTTCAAAGTAGTTCTCCTGGGAGGTCCAGTGCAAGAAATATGCTTTTATTTATACAAATTCTTTACTTGTAGCATTGCGTACTTATATCAATAACAAACCGAACAACTACCAGATGTTGAGAGAGTGTCTTTATCCTCTTCTAGGTTACTGGCGGATGCTGGACTTTGACTACGAGATGAAGCTGCTCGGTCATGTGACCCAGCTGGTAGATTCTGAGTCCTGGGCCTTCAACAGGGTTCCCCTGCAGACCTGTCTGGAAGAGTTAGCTCCACTGGAGCCCAAGTAAGTTAACATCTGTGGGTTTTATGCTCAAGTTTTTAGTGGTGTTGATAAGGCTTAGGGGATGAGAAATGGGGTTAAACTAACTTTCTGAGCATCTAATTTAAGGCTGGATGAGTCTTATATTAGATGCTCAGCTAGGTTCCAATAACTCCTCTTATCTCTTTCGCAGACAGATGATAGAGCACTGTTTGAACTGCTATGGGAAGCGCTATTCTGAAAACGGTAAAGTAAATCAACTGAGACTCAACTGAAAAACCTTCAGTTTGATTTACAGTCAGTTTGTAACTACCCATACTTACATTCCTGTATCCTCCTCCTTCTTTATAGATGACGTTTTGTATGCCCTGGATGAGGATAGAGTATGTCGGGGCATGGCGCTGATGCTGCTGCAGAACGCCGTCAAGTTCAACCTGAGGGAGTTTCAGGAAGTCTGGCAGCAGAGCGTCCCAGAGGGCATGAGCACGAGACTGGACCAGCTAAAGGTAAGCCTGTACCCTTATATACTTATTGTAAGAGAAAATATGTTTATTTTTTTACACAATAGACGCATATTACTCCCTAGAATAGAACTTAATTCTAAATGTCAAATAACTAAAGTAGGAACATTGTATAGGAATGGCTTCACTAGCACTTGTATAACCCTTTTTCTTTCCAGCCAGTTTACATTGCATTCCATTTTATCTGTGGTTTCTGTTTCCATGGTCATCTGACATGAGCACAGACAATGTTGTACATTTTCCAGAGTGTGGCCCTGGTGGACCGTAGCTCCCGCCCAGAGACCATCAACCTGCTGCGGGTGGAGGATCTCTCCGAGGACACGCTGGAGCGCTTCAACCAGCTCTTCACACTCCGAGAGAAATGGACAGAAGACGACATCACACCATACATAAAGTAGGTGTTATCCATATAGGACAATATTATAACTAGGGATGCTCCGATCGATCGGTCACCGATCGATATCGGCCGATACTCACTCTCTACCGATCGATCGGTGCTCTCTAAACATGCCGATCGCGAGAGCCGATCGCATGACGTAAAATACATGACACTTTTCTCTGTGCGGCAAAACAAGCTCGCCAAAATGGCTTCACCGGTCTGGCATTATTTTAAGGTCTCCGAAAAAGACAGTAAAATAGCGGTATGCAACGTGTGTGAAGCAGAAATCCTGCAGCTCCGCCCGCCGGACCGGTAAGCGCAGCGAAACACACAAGAGTTAGACCTAACAGCTATTTTATCTACCTCTGGAACTAGCTAAACTAGTTATTATAAATATATTTATTCTTCACTGTCGGGTCACTCATTACTAGATCAGTGAGCTGCATGAGATACTGACGGGCTGTCAGGAGAGAGGGGGGGGGGGGGGGAGGGAGAGAGGAAAAGAGAGCGCTTCCGCTCATTTTCTCCCGTGTTATTATCCAAAGTGAATGTAAACTTGAATAATGTACATCATTTGAATGTAATAATTAAGTTGATTGTTGTTTGTGGAAGCTCCAGTGAATGAGCCCCATTAACTGAGTTTAAACATCACTTTAAATGGAAGATTTAAAGTGATGTTTAAATCTTCCATTTAGGCCCCGCCCACTCGATCGGATCGGCGATCGGTATCGGCCGATACTGATTCCGGCGATCGGCCCCGAAATTGGCGATCGGAGCATCCCTAATTATAACCCTAAATAAAAGTAAAAGAACAACCATAATGTTTTCTGCTTTACATTTATGTAAATTGTAGGTAAAAAAATGGATCTTGTGAACATTGGGGCAGAAACAAATCACATCATTTATTTCTTTAGATTTCTGATAGATCATAACATGTCTCCTTGTTCAGGGACCTGTGTGGAGAGAAGCAGAGCACCGGAGCGCTCCTCACCAAACACGCTCGCTCCTCCATGCAGAACGGGATCAAGGTCTTCAACTCCAGGAGGCCTGTAGCTACATGATCTCATGTCAATTAATGCAAATCATTTTGTAAATGAATGCAGTTATGTTTGTTGCCTTGGTAACGTTTGTATTTGTCAAAAACATTTGACTAATAATTGTTCTTTTTTAAATGCCTTGGTAGTAATGTCAATAATTAAACAGCAGTTTAACAAGTTGCTTGTCAAGTGTACGAAAAATAAACTGTTAAAATGTGTGTTGTGTATATACAAAATAAAAAGATCCTAGTTTTGGCAAATATTTTCCCTTTCTTTGTGTTGTTAATAAACCCTTGTTGGACAAACGAGGAATGGAATAAAAAAAACATTAAGTTACAAGACGCCATGCTAGAGGCTGTCCACCAGGTGGTGGCATACGCTGATACATTCTTCATAAGCACCACAGGCTGACATCCAGTTGGGTTGTTGGTTGTGTTCTGAATTCAAAGGAACATAATTAGTAGGAGAGAACAATATATTGTCACAGAATCGCACACATAAATGTCAATATTACAAACTAAACAATCTCAGAAAATACTTAACTGAAAAAATGGTCACTCAAGAGCACAATTGTTGAGTTGTTCATTTACCTTTTTTTCCCCATCTTTGCCATTCCTGTGAGCTGTTAAGGAACTGGTCATATTTATTACATACATCTCGGTTAAAATGAAATCAATGGATTCTACATTTCCATGACTCGGATATTGTAACTATTCATTCAGCAACTTATCTTTTGGATTTAAAAAAGGAGACTAAAATGAACCTAAGCATATGTTATACAGACTGGATCATATGGAATGATGGCTGTAGGCTGCATTTTTGGAATAAAACAGGTTAAACACCAATATCACATCAGCTTGAATGTTCACTGTCACATCACAGCTGCTGTGAAACAACAGAAAGCTGCAGCTCTTTATTGTAATGCTTTAAATACAGAGGTAAATGAGAAAGAACAGTGACCTGAGATGAGAATATGATAGATACATTTGAAAAAACATTGTTTGGGTCAATATTAATATAGATTCTAGAGATCATTAAAGAAAACCTGACTTTATTTATATTTGTTTTGTATGTTCTATCAGATGTCTGTTTCATGTTAATGCGTTCATTTTTATTTATTTTTAAATTGTGTCGGCGGTGCATATGTGACTCAGTGTGTGTTAAACATTCACAGACTGTGTGTTTCTTCACTAAAATAACTGTCTGTGTGAATCAGTGTTACTGGCATATGAGGAGGAAGACACCACTGGTTAAAAGTTACACAGCTTTGTTTCTACACACCTACACACACACACACACACATCTGGGTTTAAAAAATGACTTGATCTGCACTAGTTGGCTGACTCAACCTGATATCACAGTGCTGACTTATCAGTTCACCGGGTGGAGAGATCCCAGCTGTGCGTGTGTGTGTGTGTGTGTGTTTTGTATCTGTTGCGATGGTGAGCATAGCGCCCACACAATGATGAATAACTTGACTTCCTCTCCTCCTCTGTACACCCTTAGCGTATTAACATCTTTTAGAGCGTTGCTTTTATTGCTGTTAAATTGTCTATTGTTTTTACTTGCACTTGTTTTATGGTGTGTGAGCTGTGCTGTGTTGTTTTTTGTATGTTTTGTTTATTTGACTGTACAGCACTTTGGTCTGGAGGTTTAAAGTGATAAAGCTGTATTGTATTGTACGACTTCTGCTCTTCTTATATCTCAAATCAAATCAAATCTTATTTATATAGCACATTTATAAACGATTTTTGGACGAGCCAAAGTGCTGTACATATAATAAAAATAGCCTACAGTAGAGACACTTTACAGCAAATACAACAGCACAGATTGTTCAGAATATCAGTATGAGAAAAACGACACCCTCTATCCTTACACCCTCACATCGTACAAGGAAAAACAGGATCGCATGTCCTGCTTCTTCTTTCCACTCAATATGTACGTCTCATTTGTCGTCATCTTCCTCTTTCTTTGAACAAAAACAACACTATCAGCAACATTCAGAGTATTAAAGCAGAAGAGCAGACGGGGTGACGTGGTAAAGCAAACGATAATACTTTAATTATCATATTACAACACAGCAATGGTGTGTTAAATCTTACCGAACATCCTTTAAATGTTAAGATGAGGTCATTCTTCTTTCTTATTCTTCTTGAAATTGATGAAAACATTGGGAATTTAGAGAGTTCCACATTTTATTATTTATTAGCTCATTGCTGAGGCAACAGCAATGAGCTAATAAATAATTTTTCAGCGCACAATATAACTGCATTCAGACAGATACAGATTTAAACAGTTCCACATTTTCTCATAATACTTATTTATTAGCTCATTGTTGTTGCCTGTTTGATTTCTCAGCTCAAAAGATAAAAGCATTCAGAAAAATAAAGTACCTAGCAAGTCCACTATTCTAACTTTCTTGGTTTCTTTTCCCAGTCAGTAAACCATACTTTTTAAATGAGCTTTTCCATGAACAAGATCAAATGTTTCTGTGGTTTTCAGCATAGTGTGCTCTTCTCTGCTCAAAATCATTATAAAACATTTAATAGAATGGTCATATAATAATAATAATAGATTTATTTTGTTAGCGCTTTTACAGGTGCTCAAAGACGCTTTACAGATATATCAGCATGTGCTATGTTGATTTTACATGCCCTATTTTAGTCCTGGTTATCTTGCTTAAGATTTAAGATAACCATGGAACCGCCCAGAGTCAAAACATTATGTCAATCTATTGGATATTTATTCTCAAACAAACTTATTGTTGCAATGACAATGTATTTTATTGTAAAATGAAAAAAAATAAAACAGGTTTGTGCTGAAATCATGCAACATTCTACTTTTAATCCACTCTTGGATACACTCCTTTATCTGAGTATGATTCACATTCACTGTGTAAACAAAGATTCCCTGAATCAAACCATTCAATCTCATGTAAATAAAAAAAGAACTTTGATTTGACTGTTTGTTTAAAATGAACCCGTCCAGTTCACAGTGATCTTGTGCTGTTCCCTGGGGCTCAGCATCCTGAACTGGTTACCTGGGCAACATGTCCTGTAGGTCGGCCACCACATAGGCGACCACGGCCCACAATGCCGAGCAGAGGTTCATTTCTTGAGGGTCCTGAACGCTCATGGTGTCGCCTTCACTGTGGTGGAACCAAAAGTATCGACTGTCTGCCACATGGAGGCTAGCACCTGGAGGAGAGATTGAGAAATATATATATTTCAAACTGTTCCAGTGAATGTTAAATGCTGAAAATTGACATGGAATTTAAAGTTAATTTATTTTACATTGGAAAGGAAATTGGTGTAATCCCCAAGGGCATTTCTGTGGAGGAGGAACTTGTGTCTGACTAATACAAGGAGTGGTACGTAACTCATCAAAGCTGTTGACCAACTCTGACCTAGTGTTAGTGAAACAAAAGTCACTCAGAAATTCATGGAGAGAGAGAGAATGCAGAAATCTCATTTTTAATTGAAAAAACAAAACGATTTTCACTTCTCATTGCTGTGATGTTTCTATTTAAATCATCTTTATTTTCTGTCTGCTTTGGTTTGCTTTTGTTTTAGGAAACAAGTGTTATTCTTAAGTGTTGAAAGAAACATTTGTATTAGTTTATCTTTTATAATTTACCAATGTAGGGGAGCCTTAGTTTATGAGCTGAAACACTAAATACTAGGGCTGTCAAGTTAACGCGTTAATAACATTTTTTTAACGCCACTAATTTTTTCGCATGTGTATTTTTTGTCCTCGGCCGCCCCGTAGTTTCAGAGCGCATCGAGTTTAAAATACCATCTACAAGCTGAGCGGGGCTGTCAGCATGTCAGAACTGACCACACTTCCACGCTCACCGACATCTCTGTTGCCGGAAATGCATCCACGAAGGAGCCGTGGAGGACCGTGGAGGAACCATCAGTGTATCCTCGGTTAGATCTCCTCCAGAGAGCCTCCTCGACGCTCGATCCTCGGTCCTCAAAGTGCATTTAGAGAAATGAGATGTCCTTCAACATGGCACGCTGAAATTCATTTCCGGGTCACTACCGGAGGACCGAGGAGCAGGGGCGGATCTACCGGGGTGGCAGGGGGTGGCAACTGCCACCCTAAACAATAGCCTTGCCACCCCAGCTGCCACCCCAGTTGGCATCTTTGTTTTGAAAGAAAAGTTGTGGCTCATCGGACATTTATGAGAGAAAATCTCTAATGTCCGAGTGCAAGTGAATGCAGCACAAGACGCGAGTCTTGTAACCCCTCCCCCGGCCCTGGCGCGAGACTGGAAATATGATCGAGAAGCATTTCGGACCCAAGTAGACGGAAGGAATGAGGTATTTGCGATCTACAATTACAGAGAAGAGAATGTCAAGTTTGGCTGTACTCAGCATTGAATCAAAACGCACTAAAGCTTTGGATCTTAATACGTTTGTGAGGCGTTTTGCTGAACAAAATATTAATCGCCGCATTCAGCTGTAATAGACATGCCAACTTGATGCTCTGCTCACGGATGACTCGATGAGCATAACAAACTATTAAGATGATGACCTTGTATGCGTGTGTATATTTTTTTTCTTTGAGGGGGTCTGCCCCCAAAAAACTGTTTTAAGTCCTGAGAAAGTAAAATCAGACGGTGTGTAAAACTACACTGCCCAGCCAACAGAAAGTAACCACTTTGATTTAACCAGGCCAGTAGACAAGGACTTTCCACTGGATAATAACTTACTGCAGCGATGTATATGTTTTAGCTGAATACACGTTTTGTTTTTTTAACCCTAACTGATGCAGTTAGTCACTTTTTTAATATTTGTTCTTTCTGATGTAAAGTCAAGGTTGTAACTGTATATCAATAATGATATAATTACTTGTTTTTCAAATTTGAAGGAGGGTGAGCAAGCATCTTGATGAACATTCATCATTAACTCCTCCAAAAAATATAGTTTATTCAATAATAAATGAATATGTGAATCATAAAAGGGATTGACAGCTGATAGGAATAATATGATTGTTAATAGTATCATATTCATTCAGACAAACATCGATGAGACAGTTAATGAATGTACTTATTGCAGCAGTCTTCATAGATTTGGTACCCCTGCTGGTCTAAGATTGAAACAAACTCATTCAGTTATTGTTCAGTTAAAATTCATTAAATTACGTCTGCCACCTTATATATTTATATGTAAGGCTTTACTGATGTGCCACAATAATATCACCTAATGTCATTGAGTTAAAATATTAATATTGTGGCTTTCCAAGTTAACATTGATTGTAAGGGTGTAACGGTTCACAAACATTTCGGTTCGGTTCGTACCTCGGTTTTTAGGTCACGGTTCGGTTCGGTACGTTTTCGGTACAGCAGAAAAAATTATCACAAAACATTAAAAAAAAAAATTATTATTTTAATTATTATTAAACTGTGAATATTCACTCAAATAAATACAAAATATAATAAAATAAACATTAAGGTGCAGCATTTCGATGAACTGAAATAATCTGTATTTGAACTGTACTGTACTAGTACCTAAGCAGCCAGCTTGACATTAGGACTTGCTTGTCATTGTATTTTCATGTTTTTTTAAAGAAAAATTAACTTGTCCACATTGCTTGCCGAAAGGGCAGATCTGCTGGCACTAACAATGTCTCCTGCTGTGGAGAACACCCTCTCGCTAGGGACAGAGGTAGCAGATACAGCCAGGTAGCGCTTTACTAACATGGCAACATAAGGATATTTGGCGTTTGTAATAGCTTTGGCTCGGTCTGAACTTGTTGCGAGTGGTGGAGGCTTAAATGCTAGTGGGAGTTGGGTTTGCACTTCAGTCTTTTTTCTTTTGGTACCGGTGATATTCACGTTTGGGTGATGCCTTTTCAAATGAGTGTGCAAGTTTGATGTATTGCCAGCCGCGTAACCAATGTTAGTTGAACAATCCCGACAAACAGCTTTGGTTCAGTCCACCTGTCTTTGTCCGTCATCCTTGTACGTAACTGCGAAACCAAAATGTTCCCAAACTGGAGACTTCAATGATGCTGGAGGATTTTCGAGCTCAACTTTATCTGCGTTCGCCATTTCCTCAAATTACTGACTACATTTGAACGCATCCCTTTGACCAGCTCTCATAGTATGCCTCTCGTCCAATGAAATGACTTGGTCGCTCTATGATATATATACCTAAGATTACTTCCAGAAAGTTGTTCATGTTCTCAATTTTTTACATTTAACGTTATATTCGTTCGGTACCCTTCGGTTCACACGTGTACCGAACCGAAGGGCCCGTACCGAATAATTTCAGTACGGGTACGTGTACCGTTACACTGCGATTTAAATCAGCATATACTTCTGCCAGGGGATGCCACCCCTCAAAATCTCCTGCCACCCTCTTGCCACCCCATGAATATTTGTCTAGATCCGCCCCTGCCGAGGAGTCGAGGAGGGGGATTTGATGAAATGAGAAAGGGCCATAGAGTCGTGACGCACGGCCGGACTTATCTCAGCCAATCACAGCTCTGCATGCATCCCCTGGTGGATATTATTGTATTAACTTCTTTCATTGTGACGCGATGTTTACAGAGAGAACAGCTGTGAGGTCCGTGCAGAAAGCAGAGCAGTGTGTAAAATATATATCACTCAGTATAACAGGCCTACATTACTCTCTTTATTTGCTGTAGTTTAGTAGATTTTCTAAAACCATTTAGTGCTTCACATAATAAAATACACAACGGCTGTAGCCTGATTATGCTTTAGGAGCTGTAGGTGCGTGTGGCACAGTGTGTAGGTGTGTGTGTTGTACAGTGCGTAGATGCAGCGGACAGACAGGTCTCAGTTGGTTTGGTGTCCTCTGCTTACTTTCAATACTTCTAAATAAATCTTTTGGCCCGTAATTTATTGTCCTCATTGTATCGACCAGAGAGGGGGGGGGGGGATATATCCAGTCTCTGATAGTGTTACGTTATTATGAGAGTGCTCTGTTTGATTCTGAAATTACACATATAATGTTTGTCAATTTAAAAGATAATTTTACAAGTCAAAAAAAGAAAAATGTGTCGTAAAACTGTGAAGTAACACTTTTTTTGTGTGAAACCGCTCAATGAACTACATCTCCCGTCTCGCACCACACACCAAGACGGCCTTCACGTTAGCACATTTCACTCCTTTCTTTCAGAATGAGACGAAAAGTATTAAAAGAGGTGAAAATCACTACAAGTCTGGGCATGTTGAGAGCTGTACATACACAAACGGGGAGTTAGTCGGTTCCGTAAGAGCCAGCATGCGGGACCAGGGCCCTTTCTCATTTCATCAAATCCCCTCCTCGACTCCTCGACTCCTCGGTCCTCTGGTAGTGACCCGGAAATGAATTTCAGCGCGCCATTTTGAAGGACATCTCATTTCTCTAAATGCACTTCGAGGTCCGAGGATCGAGCGTCGAGGAGGCTCTCTGGAGGAGCTATAACCGAGGATACACTGATGGGTCCTCCACGGCTCCTTCGTGGATGCATTTCCGGGAACAGAGATGTTTCAAAGAGTCGTGACGCACGGCCGGACTTATCTCAGCCAATGACAGCTCTGCATGCATCCCCTGGATATTATTTTATTAACTGCTTTCATCATTGCGATGTTTCCAGAGAGAACAGCTGTGAGGTCCGTGCAGAAAGCAGAGCAGTGTGTATAATATATATCACTCAGTATAACAGGCCTACTCTCTTTATTTGCTTTAGTTTAGTAGATATCTACAAACAAAGAGTCGATATTTTTCTAAGACCATTTAGTGCTTCACATAATAAAATACACAACGGCTGTAGCCTGTTTTAGGAACTGTATATGCGTGTGTGTGGTGTACAGTAGGTGTGTGTGGTACAGTGTGTGCGTAGATGCAGCGGACAGACAGGTCTCAGTTTGTCCTCTGCTTACTTTTAATACTTGTAAATACAAATTTTGGCCCATAATTTATTTTCCTCATTGTAACGACCAGAGAGGGGAGAGGGGGGGGATATATCCAGTCTCTGATAGTGTTACGTTATTATGAGAGTGCTCTATTTGATTCTGAAATTGTATATATTTATATAAATATATACAAATATATATGTGTGTGTGTGTGTGTCCGCATCTGTAGCCTGTTATTGTCTCATTATACCGCACTGTGAATGAATTAAAAGTAAATATATAAGTCGTCATGAACACATCTGTCCATCAGACAGAGGGCTGCTGTGCCTCCTGTCATCATTAATGGACGTCTCTTTAAAATGACCGCTCAGAGGAGAGGAGTTCTCATTTCTCTAACCGCCTGCTGCTTCCCCTCCTCTCTCCTCGGTTCCCCTCCTCGGCTCCTCGGCTCGCATCTCCTGTGGGCGGGACTAAGTATCCAGGATAGGAATCGAGGAGGGGAATCGAGGAGGGGAGTTAGAGAAATGAGAAAGGGCCCGGGATTCTGGGATTTGTAGTCTTTCTAGTTGCGTATTTTCCATAGTCTTATATTTCAACAGTTTTACGACAAACTGTGACTTTTTACATGGAAATTATTACTTAAGATTGACAAACATCATATGTGTAATTCGTGTTACAATTCAAACGGGATCGAAAGATAATCTTTCTCTCTCCATTGACTTCAATACAAACTTTTTCCGAAATAAGGTCCCATGAATCTAAAGCATGGTCAAAAGCTCCCCCAGAGCCGGAGCTAAACCGAAGAACCGGTTCTGCACCTGAAAAGCTCTAGCACGGAGCTTGAACCGGAGTTGCGTTGGTGTGAATGAGGTACCAGTCACATCGTTTTTGCGTACTCTAACAACGATGTCGTCCAAGGGAGTTAAACGTTGTGTTGTTGTTGGCTGCAATAATATGAACAAGGGCAAGGTACTGCATGCACTGCCATCTCTGGAAAAATACAGGAATCTGTGGCTAGAGTTTATTTTCCAGGGACATGTGCCAGAAGACTACAACAGATTTCTGCTTGTGTGTTCAGAACATTTTGCCCCTGACATGTTTATGAACTTCACTCAAGTCAAAGAAGGATTTGCCTCCAGACTAAGGCTAAAACCGGGATCAATACCCACCATCCGGGACCAGGCCAGTGAGGCCACATCCAATTTGGAAGCTGTAAGTTTTTATTTAGCGGTGTTTTTCCTGATAAAGCTATTCTAGCTTGTAGCATGTAGCATGTAGCTTCACCGTATCAATGTCGTCTCAAACCCAAACAGTAATCGGTTAGGTGTTTATATGTATTTGTAACATTTTATTTTGTACGCTCCGCTGTCTTTGCTTTTATTTTAATTATCAGGCATTTGATAACATGCTCAGACATACTGCCGCAATGGCGATCTGTGTGAAGGCTGTAAAGCCACGCCATAGCAGATAACACAAGTATTTATTCTCGTATTTATTAGTATTTTGTATCCTCTAAACTCATATAAAGCAAGTTATAATAACAAGCGTAATCTTCTGTAGCTAAGTGCCGTTTTTTGCAGCGTTATATGTACAAGCTTGTATGTGTTTACTTGTTAGCGCACATGAATTTAAATGGGTGTGCGTGTGTACGACTGTTAGGATCTATGGGAGAGGGGGGAGACACACCACGAGACAGCTATACTGAATACATATTTACTGTGAATGTATGTAAAAATGTATGGCATATGGCTGTCTAACAGAAGTTAAATTCATTTTTCACTTATTCTGACAATGTACTTAACCCCAAATAAAAGAACCCAATACAAAGAGTTGTTAAATAATAGTGAAGTCACGTTATAATAACAATAACTCATCTCTCGAGTTTTATTTTTGAGCTTTGCCAAAAGCCACTGTGTCAAGTGTCCTACTTGGGTTGCCGTCCGGAGTTGTCCAATATGGCGGACCATCTCGCACATGCGCAGTACAGATCGGGTACCTGACAGACGTTAGTTCGTTTTTAGCTTGGTTAGCTTATCCTCTCGTGTCATTCAGCTGGGCAACATGGATCGAAAATGTTCCTATCCGGACTGCAGGAGTACGGAGGGCTTGCACCCCCTACCCCCCGACCCGCAGCTGGCCCACCGCTGGCTGCAAGCTCTGGGTCGGTTCGACACCCCCCCCTCCTTTGTTCCCCCCTCCTCTGTTTACGTGTGCTATCTCCACTTTACGGGCGAGAACTTCTCCAATTATGGAGAGCTGGAAATGGAATTTAAAAAGCAGCTTCTCCTAAACCCTGATTCTGTCCCTACCTCTGCACAGGTGGTGCCACAGGTGAGGCTTCCAACCCAGCATATGCAAAATAAGCACATAGGCTACTGTGTGCACATTATCATACAGTATAGCGTCCCTTTATTTATAATTAACACACTGGTTTCTGAGCTTGCCTGATATTAGACAGTTAGTTTTGCTAACCTACTAAATGTTCCATATTAGTGAAAGATTAGGCGACACATCTATAATAAAGGTGTATTTTTTTAAGTTACCGATTAGCATGTAGTCATTTTACAAAAGTATTTTGAAAGTCTAAAGATAATTTCATTTCCTTTCGATTGCTTCCATGTCAAGTGAACCAATGACTCCAAATCCATTCCAAATACTATTTCTTCACTGGGCAAGTAGGATAAGTTGTTGTTGTTGATTAATTGGATGTTATTGCCTAAGGAGAGCAATGCACAGATATGAGTAAGAAGACCAGAGGGAATATCTGTGGAATAACCAACCTAAAACTCGCATTCAATATTTTAGCATGTTATTTTAAAAGATATTTGTGATGATGGATGTATAAAGTGTCACTGTTTCCCTACGTTTAGGGTACCGGGGACAGTTTCTGTCAAACTTCGCCTGCTGTACGACACGTAGCCTCCCAGACTGACCCTCCAGAGATAATATCAGACACTCTGATATCCATAAAAACAGAACCTCTAACGAGAAGATCAGTCGGCACACAGTTATCCAAGAGAACTCTGCAGAATCCCGTTCGCAGCACAGGTTTGTAGTCCTACACATCATCAAGTAGCTATGTGTAAAATGTTGTTTCCTTTTTTTGTGTATTAACTTTAATACTACTTTAAAATGATAATACTAAGTGTTCTCATGAATGTTCTACTGACATAATGACTTGTTTCTTTGTCTTTACTTTGAAGCCACCCAAGCGAGAGTGCCCGGCAAAGATTGTGGCGTCTGCACCCCCACCTTCCCCTTGGACAGTCCACTGCTGCTCCTACAACCAACCATAGTTAAGAGACCACCAAAGAGACCTCGACTCAGCCTATCAGACGAGGAGGAAGGCCCCTCAGAAGGCTGTTCGTCTATGGGGATTAATGAACCAGGGAATTCAACATGACTGTGGACTCTTTGAGCAAGACAGCAGGCCTTCAGCCGCTTCATTGGAACTGTTTAATAATACTGTAGAAAACTGAATGCCTTTAGGCAACTCATTCTCCCATTTGGTTACTGATTTAAAAATGGGGTTTGTGGTCTGCCTGGCTAAATGTGTAATGTGTTTTTATTAACTCGTTATACCTCAATGTTTTTTTCTGAGAACAGTGCTGTTTCACTTCTCGAATCTAGACAGGGGTGGAGAAGAAGTTTGGATAATGCAATATCTACCGGAACCACAAAGATAGAAACAAACTAATTCCTATTTTCACTATCAATCCATCAGGACTGAGGAAAACTGATATGGATCGGTACAGCTTTTCACCATCATTGCTAATCAAGGGATGCTGAATTTAAAATGTACAAGCGTATCAGGGGAACGTGAAATCTTTGATATTTACCCAAAAGGACACTTTTTTTGACTACCAGGTTCAGTTTCAGCTCTACATGTGCTTTTTCCTGCAGCTTGAAGCTGGTTCATTTACTGTATTTCATGTTGAAGCCGTAACCAAAAGGGAAAAGATATGTCCACACAGATTTAAATGTAGCTTTTGGAGCTACTGGTTATGTGTGCCAAAAAGTATTTCGAGCAAGCCAGCAGGAAAACTGAGATTGAATCTTTAACCTGTGAATTGTCAGTGGCCGGATCCTATCTCACAGGTTTCTTCGCTTAACTTGCTGTGTTCAGAGATGATTATCTTTTTCATTTTTATAGGAAAAACATACAGTACATGTTCGATATGTGTTGTTATAAAACAAAGTTCTCTTTATTCATAATGTGTCGTGTTTATTTATTATTCTTTTTTAGTAGTAGTTTAATGTTCATATTGTTAGCACACACTCTAGGAGGGAATCTACTAAGCCCTGTTTTTGATGATGTAAAAAAGACCTTGCTTGTAGGCAAGATAATTCACCTAACATACAATTGATAAACAACTTAAAAGGCTTACAATATGTTATGTCAAATTCATTTCAGATTCAACAGAATGAATTTCAATGAAGCTGAATTCAAGATAAAATAAATATTCCAGTCGATAAAGGACAATAAAAAAAAACGCATCTGTAAAATTGTACAATATCATGTTACTGGAAGAATTTGGGTCACGAACTGTAAGACAAACCCAATCTTTAACTTGGAGTCAAGAACATTTTTATTTTATTTAAAGTGTCATGAAACAAAGTGGCCGTGTAGCTAATTATTATAATTGAGCAAAAGGTTAAACAGGAACATCTGTCTATCTAAAATAGTGCTATTGTAGACGGTACTTGCACAATGAGTACATAATGTGTAGTTGCTCAATTGGTCTTATCTTATATTTTGGTTTTCAGTTCCTCTGCAAACATTACTATTAAGATGTCCCTTAGTAAATCAATTTCCTAACTCAACTACTGTAAAAGTGTCCTCTACATCTCACCTGACAATAGCACAAATGGATTTCTCCCTCAACTAGTTCTCCTAGTCTCTGATTTAAAGCTGGTATGTACTAAAAAGTTCAAATCAAATGTATTTATGCTAACCTGTCTATAAGATACACAACATCTTTCTCTTTACGTTGCAATTTCACTTCTATATAAGCTAGTCAGATTCAAATATCTTAAAGCCACAATAAAAGGAATACACTGTCAGATATTAAGTACATGAATGGTGAGGGTTCAATCTGTTTCTATCATCTATTCAATAAATCCAAAATCAATATACATTTTTTGTCATGGCTTTTTACGGTATCTCCCCCTTACTGCTAAACTAAAAGTAAGTTTCAAGTATCTGCTTTACCGACTTCTCTGTACTGTACTGTGTCTAAGTTCATCAATGAGGATGTGATTCTGTATAAACAGCACTTTAAGAAAAGGTATTAAACCAGAACAACAGAAATAAGGATGAGTTACTTCCTCATTTGAGTGTTTCTGCATTTTCTGTTATAATATAAAATATCCTATCATGATCATTTGTTGCTAGTGGCAGACAGATAGAATAGACATATTGATTTAACTGACCTGGTACTCCTGCCTTTAACCACGGGGAGATGTCTGTCCCTTCTCCATGTGCCTCCAGTTTGGTCGTATTAATGGGAGCCAACAGTTTAACCACTTCTGCCATCACCTGTTGGTACGGATACAGTTTAGTGCTTTTTCACACAATCTGTTGTACACCAACAATTTCAAACAAGGCTCGCTCAAATTTAAGTATTCTATTTCAGATATTTACTAATGTTTACATTACATGGCCTTTGTTATTCAGACACCATACTACAAACCCATTGTAAATATTAAGAGACCATCTAACCGCATGAATAAAAGACGAGTCATCCTGTGGTTACATGGATCTTCAGAATTTACATGCTCAACAGAGACTATACTAAGGTTACTGTCAGTGTTCGAAATGGGGGGGAGCTTGGCTCCCCACAAGACTTTGAGATAAATAGGGGGAGCCCAAAAAAATTGTGCATATTTGTGTCACACAGATTAGAAATGTTGAGTTTCTGTAAACACAAGTTCTTGAAATAAATAATAGTCATTGTTCATTACAGTTTCTGAATATTTGTTTTATATTTGTGAATATTTCTGGGTGTTGCCATCTGTACGTGCCGGCGCTGCATTCTTTACGCTACTTACGTTGCTATGGTTATGGCGGTGATGCCGGCGCGGTATTTGACATTTTCATATTGATATTTTTTTAACTCTGGCTTTGTAATAAAAAATATGGCAAAACGAAAACAGCCAAGCCTCGCAGCTTTTGGATTCACAAGCAAAGAAGCGAAGGTGTCTAAAAATGACAACGTAAACGGAACAACTTTTAGTTGGCCCGGCTGTAACCGGCGTTAGGGTCGAGTTTGACAGCTCCACACGAAAAAAAAAAATGTGGATGTGAGATTTGCAAAGAGGCAAAACGTATATTGATCTCCCTGCCGCTCGCAGAAAAATCCACCTTTGTGCACCTTTCACAATAATGGATTCAGGGAAAAGTCAGCAGTGATCAACAGAATAACCTGCAGAAAAAGATTTATAAGCACCATAAGAGCCAGGCACACGAAAAAGCGATCGAGATTTCGGAGATAAGAAAAAAATATATCCTACCAAAAAAGGCCTATTGGCAATCAATGTTGATCTAATGCAGGAAACATATACATCTTTCAGTCAACAGAGCGTGCGTGTGACATATTTAGTAGCAGGATGTGCACTGAAAAATAGGGCTCCCCCGAAAGCAAATGGGTAATTCGAACACTGGTTACTGTAAATGCAAGGTTCAATCTGGAGTTTAAAATGTTCAATCTAGGAAGTCAAACATAAAACATCACATTTACTGGATTGATCACTAATTCATCAAACCTTCCAGAATCTTGTATTTTTTTAAAATACACACTTTTTAACCTAAATAAATACATTCTGATAATCTTGTGACCTGTTTTTCAATCCTAACCTTTCGTGCTGCATCACTGCCAGTAAACTGCAGAGCCTCCGGGGTGAATGTCCCCAAGTCAGACTCCATGACCAGGTCAAAGTTTGACATGTTCACCTGTGTGGGAGAGAAGAAGAACATAGGGGAAGGGGACTGAGCATGGTGAAAGCATAAACAAAAACAAATGTGTGTTTATAAAGATAAAACAAAAATCCATATTCAGTCCGTGACGAACTGTACCAGTAGTAATGATAAGCTTTACTGCTTTTACTGTGAGTTTTCTGTCAGGTACTGCAGTAGTAGTATACAGTACCTTGTGTAGATCAAAGTACTGCTGCGCCCCGACCCCCCCCTGCTCCTCAGCGGTCCACAGCACCGCCCGCAGGGTTCTCCTTGGATGCAAACCTGGAAATAAATTAAGATTCAAATCAACACAATAAGCTAGAAATAATTTAAGAGGAGAAAGACTGCAGCTCCAATGAACAAAACGGCCATGTTTAGTGATGAATGGTCTTTTTAACCTTTCTTTAGATAACTAGTAGGCTATATATATTCCAGACTACAACACTTTTCATCACTGGATCTGATTCTGTTGGTTTGATGATCATGTCCCCACTTTTTCGGATGCATTATTTTGTCCAGAAGAATACTGTACTGTATATCCGAGCGTGTTCCCTTATGCTGTGTGTTCCTCTACAGTTGGAGGAAATTACTGTTTACAGTCGGAGGAATTGTTTTGTAACTTGTCCCTTAGTCGGAAATGGAATACTTCATTGGAGTTTGTTGAAACACCCATGTAGAAAATGTAGTTTTGCTCCATTTGATTATGGAGCTTTAGTATATTCTGCTTTAGTCAATTGTTCTACCAACTGTTAAGAGTTGTTGTCATTTGTTTAAAAAGAAGACAGTTGGTCGCTGAAGAGCAAACAGGTTGCATAAAGCTAAATAATAAAGTCAATCATTTACTTGACATTGTTTGCTTCTGAGCAGCTTGCTGCCGTCTGTATACTTTGGATCTATCTCTGCAGTATGAAACATTGTTCGTTGTGTGGAAGTTTATCTGGACGGTACATTTGTTTATACAGTGTCTCTGTTTCTATATTACCTAATTCCTTGATGAGTGACAGGGCCTCCCAGGAAATCATGGCTCCGCCTCCATCATCCATGGCGCCCTGACCCACGTCCCAACTGTCCAAATGGCCGCTCAGTAAGACAACCTAACAGAATGTATAAATAAAGAGATACATAAAAAAACGAAACAATACATTTGACACTGTGATGGGAGACTTCTGCTTATGAATGTATCCTGAACTTTTTTTCTCTGGATTGAAGTGTGAGAGACTAGCACCAGATAATGCTCTCTGAGCTGGTGATGCTTTTTGACAACAAGAGCAGAGGAACAGAGTCACAAAGACAACAAAAAAAACAAGACAAAACACACACAGTTCAGAGAGATATCCACATTTCCAGGAATGTAGAGGGGTGGGATTCCCGTCAGTGGGATGATCCTGACCCGATGTTCCAGGTTAAAAAACAAACGAGCCCACTCTGGACAATGACCCAGATGCCACGCATTCCATTACACTGGAAGGAAGTGTTTCTCTTCTTATACAACTATTATGTGTTTTTAGCCAAGCTGGTGGCGCGGCTTTGAGGCCGGCACCACTTAGGTCCAGACTGAAATATCTCCAATAACTATTTGATGGTTTATCTATACATTTTGTACACTTGACTATTCTATTAGCACCCCCACTAGGTCAAAGCGTTTGCTTATCCAGTGATTAATCTGCACATCTACAGAATTTACCCATTGCACACTTAGATTTATGATCAGTGCAAATCCAAATCAATGTCAAGTACCACAAATAGTTATATGTCGTAACTAAATAACAGAAGCCTTAACACCAGGAGATAAAAGATTTAGAAAGGAAAAAAGGCCGAAGATGTCGAAATGAAGTGGGTGGAAAAAGTCCTAGCGACTCATCACTCTCAGATGACCGATTGGATATGAAAAGGTTAAACTGTGGAAATGACTCACCAAACCTCAATTGTACATCTTTCTGTTAACTGGGCACACACACCGCACACACACACTCACTTCAACCACAGCTGATGCTACTGCCAGCTGAATCAACGTCCAAGAGCCAAAAATGATGATTTGTTTTATTTCCCTTTTCTGTGCGACCAAACGTTGGTTACTTGACAGACTGTTCAGTTAGCAAAGAAAACCAGAGTAATGTTTTAAAAAAAGAACATCACATGAATTACACATATTTAAAAATGCTGTAATATGTTTAAGCAATAGCTCACGACAGGCCGTGGTATATGCTCATTATATCACAGCTAAGGGACGTTGCCCCTGTCCAGCAGCTAACAACAACTCAGTTGCCCTCGGTGAAGAGCCTTGCCAGCCCAAGGACTTTACATTCCCTGCCAGGCGGTTTGGAAAGGAAACATTCACCCGATCCTTCAATTCAGGCTGGTTTAAACAGTGGACATGGCTTCACCATATAAAATAAAAATTATAATGCGGTGTGCTTCTTCTGTTGCTCAGCAATAGAAAAGACGCTCGTCAGTGCAGACAAGAACAGGGATGGGAGTTTTGTTAAAGGAGGGTTTAACAACTGGTGAAAGGCAGGGGGAAAATGTAGGGAGCATGAGAAGTCCCATCAACACAGAGAGGCCGTCAACAAACTAGCAGCATTAAAACGAACACCAATTAATGCGCTGCTCTCACAAGCTGTTGCTAAGGAACAAATGAATGAACAGACTGTGACTTATTTCCACCACCCCTGAGCGCAAGACCACCTTCGGTGTTCTGTAGCCTATGCTGTGTGCGCGCGAAGAGAGGGTGAGAGAGTGAGAGAGAAGTTCAGAGTTACTCGTTATTAATATTTTCGGATGGTTGCTCTGTGTTCACTTAAATTAAATAAATACATACGTTAATTTAGCGCTTTTCTAGCATATCGCACAGCCGAATTCACAAAAATGTGCAATTGTGTAAAATGTGTAAATTGTCACTGTAGAAACCTATGATTATTCATGTAGGCCTTTTCCGTTTTAATCTGTTTAATGTTAACTCTGCATCTGTTATTGTTATAAAATCCGGTGCGCAGTGCACGCTTTAAAGTTCAAGTGCGTTGTTATTGCTACCAGTGGCGTTTTCTCCCGGAGGCCAAGGGAAGCCAGGCTTCCCTTGTTTTTTCGGATTGTAGTTATAATTTAAATAAATAAATAAAAACACTTTGTTTTGTTTCGATAATTCTCCGTTGCTGTGTGTTGCTGCCGGCCCGTCTCTCCCCCATTGTCATTGAGTATTTTACAAAGAGTGAAACAAACAGCGCCCCTCTAGATGTCATGGTGAAACAGTAGATTGCACTCTCTGTTGCGAGAGGAGGCCAGCCGAATCTGGCTTCCCTTGGTGAAAAAAAATTGAGGGATTGACCAATCAGATGAGGCCCACGTGATGCCCCTGCCAACCTGTGATTGGTCAGGGCCATGCCAAGGGAAGCCAGCTGCCTCTTGCTTCCCTTCAGAGGCGGCTGGCGATTTGATTGGACACTGCCATCCAATCAAATCACATCAACATCAGTTTTAATACTGTAACTGTCATCACCACCGTTAGAAATTATCAAGCAAATGAAGCATTATGGAGGGTGGAGATTTGGCGTACTTAATCAAACATAACTTTACTAAACTTCCGCTACAGCAGCAACTAAAAATTAAATCAGATGACAGGCCAATGCCCGCACTCGAGCTGTGTGTACACAGAGGAAAAAGGGAGAGAATCGGACGTTCAATGTGGACAATTATGTCCGCACGGAGTGGCTAACTGGAAGTGCTAAACTTCAGCGTCTATTTTGCTGGCCATGTCTTCTTTTTGACAAGGATTCGTGCTCCCTGAACAATCCTTGGGCAACTTCAGGATTCATCGACCTTGCCAACCTGTCACGGGCAATTGAGAGGCCCGGTAAATCCAAAAATCACATAGATTGTGTGATTGTCTGCATACATTAATAAGTAAAATGCTTAAATTAATAAGGAGAGAGTTTCAGCTGGAGAGTGCGTGCGGACCTTTTGATTAGATAACAGGCGTGTGCGAGTCCTGCATCTGTGTGATACAAATGTGTGTAAAATGATACCGGGCGCTGTAATCACTCATCTGGTTACGTTATTGACCACCCCCCCGACCCAAAAAATGGGCTTCCCCTACATTTTTCCCCACGCCACGCTACTGATTGCTACCCGGCTGCGTCTCAATCAACAATAAATCGTCTTCTGATTAGAAAAAAATCTGCTGCATTTCGTGTGTGAAATCCCCCCGCCCTCCCGCACCCCCAGCTCTGACTGACTTCCGCGTCCCTGATCTGATAGAAAACTGTAGCCAACAAGTCCTCCAACTCATACGACCAAATAGGCCGATTATTCAGGGCCTTATTACGACCAAATATGTCGTTTGTTCAAGCACTTAATACGTCCTATAATTACGTTAGAAAGTTTTCGCCCTCTAGTGCTCCCGTTGAATGCTAACGTTACAGATGGTCGTTTATTCACAAATAACCCTCTCTGTAAAATCCTAAATTATAGGATAGTTTATAGGATTAGATTTCTAGCGAGAACTGTATATTGTACTTTTAGAATCCACGTCCAGTCGATATGTAGGATCTATAGTTTGATAGATATTACGAAGATGATTTGAGGTATGCGGCAGCCTCCATGTAAAGTTACGGGTTGAAAACAGTATTTCCGGTCTCAACGTTTTCATAATAAAACCAATGATCAAATGAGTTAACAGTGATATCTGCAGTACTCATCCACTAAAAAACATCAGTTTATCTTTGTTAATTATACGAGATTTATTGGTTTAAATTGTGTACAATGCTTTTGTGTTTTTCCCATAGGTTTTTCTCCTTCGATTCTGAGAGACACCTTTCATTTTTCAGAGGTTTTGATGTTTTTAAAACATCGATTGTTTTAGCCGCAATGCATGTCGAGATATGATGTTTATCCGATATGAAATCGGAAAAACATCTTTTTAAAATAAAATAATACTTTATTATACTTTGGAAGTCATCACATAACGGCATTGTAATACACGGTTCGGCTGCATTAAATATTACATATCTGCCGTAGATATTTATTTATAGAGCCCTGATCAGAAGACCTTTTGACAAACTGTAAGAAATGCCGCCAAAACTGAATACGTGACGTGGATCATAAATATATTAGCAATTAAACAACATCTTCCATTTCCCTTCACACAATACGTCTCCTTGCAGTATCAACACTAATTCGGCTGACTTTTATATTTGATCCAATTGGTAGATAGGTTATATTTACACCATAATGGTGCACAGCTGATAGAAAGGGATTTTTTTGTAGTTTTTAAAGATATTATTTACTACCTTTCCAACTCCTCATGCAGTTGACTGTTACATGTCTATACAGGTTCATGGTACAATGCATAAGCTTCAAATTGAGAGACTGAAACTGTATTTTCCTTTACCGTTCTGTTTTAATTTCACAATAAAGTTAATAGTCATATTATGTTTGATATTATTATGTTTTATTAACTACACCACTGGTTTTTTAACCCGCACCGCCTAGTGGTTAAAGCACGTTATTGAATTTTGTTGTTGAATAAGTTTTATTTGATGAAAACATTTAAATATTAAGAGTAGCCTACATACAAAATTGAAAATATCAAGAAGATACTGTAGTGATCTCTACAATAAAACAGTTTAGTGCAGGACGTCCAAAGATATTAACAGGAGGATGTGCAAAACAGACCAACTAATAAGGCTTTATTTAAACATTAAAGATTACTTTAAGTTAAGGTCTTCTTTTGAATAAGAAAAAAACGTTGGGGTTATCCACAGATAAATGTGAAGTCTGACAAAGTACTTAACGTCCAATATATTGCAGAGTTTATTTTGGCACTTAATCACCTTCCCTGAATTTGACTCAGGTGTAACTAAAGTCTGATTTAAGGGTTGTTTATATTTCACATCATTAATCAGAATCTGCAAAGTAACTCAAATAAATGTAGTGGAGTAAAAATACCAGGTTAACCTCTGAATTGTAGTGGAGTAGAACAAAGTAGTACATGCTGCTGTAACAAAAACATTTCCCAACTTGGGATCAATAAAGTATATCTTATCTTATCTTAAGATGATCGATGGCTACTGCCATATTTGCAAAATGTGCCTCTGAACCTTGACAAGTGCATGTTTCAGGCTTATCAATGAACAACAGGAGGGGTCACAGACATAAGACCAGCTGTTAAATAAAGCTCTTCTGACCTTAGGTGTCATGTGGGTATATTAATTCACCCATTCATTAATTATGTTTTAAATTTGATAACATCACTGTGTTTCGTATCCCCTAAACCTCCAGGGTGTACACAGTTTAATACTGGCAACTTCTAATTGTGGGAAATACGAAGACGTGCCATAGAACATGTTGCTGGGCTGGACCCGTCCAATTCCAGTTTTGGAAAGTCTGCCGTGGTTCCATTCCATTTCATAGAGCTGTTTGACGCTCAGCGTAACTTTGTCGCACTGCCACTCCAACATCCAATCACAGGGCTTGATGACTAATCACGGGGTTTGTAAAGCAAGGCGGATGTTGTAGTCCCAAACGATAGCTGGGGATTCTGGGTAGTGTAGTGTCTTCGGAAACTGTAGTGTCTAAATTCCGAAAAAACTATTTGTTAGGATAAACTGATGTTTTTTAGTGGATGAGTAATGCAGATATCACTGTAGTGTGTAATCATTTGACAGTGAGGGGAATATATCCGGTTTTATTATGAAAACTTCGAGACTGGAAAAACTGTTTTCACCCACGCTAACTTCACATGGAAGCTGCATACACTTTATCCTGGCGAGACCTCAAATTATCTTCGTAATATCTATCAAACTATAGATCCTACACATCCACTGAACGTGGATTCTAAGAGTACAATATACACTTCTCGCCAGAAATCGAATCAAAAAGCATTTTAATGGCCAAACTATTCCACAATTTAGGATTTTCCAGAGAGGGTTATTTGTGAATAAATGTCCCTCCGGAGCGTTTGCAATGAACGGGCCGGGAGCATGTTGTTTCTTACACGACCAGAGCACCTCTAGTGGTCGTGTAAGAAACAACATACTCTTTAAAACGTGTCTCTGGGTCGTAATAAGGGCATGAACAATCGGCCTATATGGTCGTTTTTTGTAGAAGGACAGGCTGACTGTAGCAGATACGACCGTTATCGTCCTCGTGTGGCTGCAGCCTTAAACCGCGCTGTAGTGGAAATGCGCAACAAGCAGGGTGGCTTTAAATGTGTGAAACATGGAAATGGTAAATGTCAGTTTGATCAAATCTGATGTGAAGCTTTCCAACTGTTTTCTTGCTATGCTGCAGTTTGTTTCAGTCACGTTTCACCTCTCATCTTCACAAATCAATGCAGCTACAATTTACATACCTTTCTCAGCTATTTAGTAAATGCTAGTTCAACCCGACTGGGAATCTCCCTGTGGATAGGGAATGTCTAACCTGCTACTCTTCCACTGTTAGGCAGATAGAAGCTACAGCTTTGAGCCGACAGTAAGGGACCGCCACACAGTTTTCGTCCAAAGGCTCCACGTTAAATCTGTCTCACAAGTACTAACTTTCTACCCACAGCGGGCAATGTGTGACACTGCCCTGAACCCATTGCAGCATTCAAGCCCTATCCACTGAATAACAGAAGATTATTATTATTATTATTTTATCATCATACAGTACTGCCTCCTCTGCAAAGTAGTAGCATTGTTTAAAAAAAGTATGCAGTAGCACCTTGTCTGTTGATCAGGTTCTACCTGCTAGGCGTGCCCACATACTGTATGTGCTAATGGCCTGTGTGTCATTGTGTGACACTGCACTGCAAGCTGGTCCAGGTAAATATCTGATACTGATCTGGACGGTGATAGGCTTCTGACTCAGAGCAGGGATATTTTCCACCCTCCGTGATTTAAGAGAAATAGAAAATAAAATGCATGTAAGCGTCTCTCTGCATGTGTCTGCCCTGTGAAACACTGACCACCTCTCTAGGGTGCATGACACTTTTGCACAATACATGCTGTCATCTGACTATTGTATTTGTTTTGCATTTGAATACCTCTGCTATGCAACTTCCCCATTTACCAACGTGTTGTGTACTTAGCATAGTAATTTTAATTAAAAAAGTCTCAAAATGAAAAGAATACTAATAATAGGAACATACACCCTAAACTAAATTAAAATCTTATCTTCACAAATCAAAACTATGTTTGTACCATAGGGGATAGGTTTCAGGAAGTCTGTAATTTGAGTTGAGCTGAAGCCAAGGCAGCAACATTTCTCAAAAACATTTTTTTTTTTTTTTAAATCATCAAAAATCGACATGTCTCTTAAAACCAGCGTTGTTTTCCCATCACAACATTATTCAAAGTGACTGAATGAAAGGGACAAATCTAAGGATTTTCCACAGAGCTGAGCATCAGCACTTTTCTGGACAGATTAGATAAGATATGGCAAAATAAAGGCAGACTGTGGCAATATCTGAAGTCGGACAAAATAATTGACTTCCTTCCTTATTTACTTTCCTCACCCTGCTAACCCGTGAAGAAGAGAGAGGGAAATACGCAAGAGAGAGAGACAAGAACATAATGACAGTGTTTTTCAAGACACTTGTTTCCCGTACAATTCATTCAAAAGGCCGACCCTAACACCCTTTCACAAACACTAAAAGAATGGAAAAGAAAGACCATTGTATGAACAGGTAAATAAGTCGGAAATGCAGGAATTTGAGGTCTACCTGCTCAGGGTGTTCCCAGCCTGGTATCTCAGCCACTGTGTTGAAGGAGTCAGCATCCGGCAGAGTCTTGGCTCCCATTGTGAGTCTGACCACGATCCTCTGCCCTCTCTGAGCCATACGCCACATCAGCTCAGCATCCTCCACGGTGATACAGGCTGAAGGGATGCGCTTTACTCCATCTTGGTAGTCCTGCAAACCTGTGTGGGGACTAGAGAGGGACAGACGGTATGGATGGAGAGACATTTTCATACATTTCCTTGTAGAAAGATGGTGTTGATGAAACTTTATTCTGAAATATTTCTTACATCACAAAAGGTACATTTTCAACATTTCAACAAGACAAAACATTTGAGACCATAAACAAGGATATTTAGATAGATAGATACCTGTTAATAGAGAATGGCGTAATAGAGCGAATGAGCGTGGCCACAGCCCCCACTTTGGCAGCCTCAGAGGCGCCATAAGCACGGTAAGCCACCGTCTCCCCGTAGCTGACAAATGGTTGGTTAAAGACTACAATCCTCCCAATTGCTTCGCTGGCTCTTTGCTTCAGTTCATCAAAAGACTGAACTACCAACACCTCTGCCTTGATACCTGGAGAGATAAGAGAGAAACGTAGAGGAGTAAATGGAGGTGGATGAAAGGTGTTAAAATGATTGATAGAGTATGATCTTTACCCTCAGGTGGTGTCCCAACACTGCTACCAAGTCCCAGTATAGCCAGACTTTTGGCCCTGGGTGCAATCATTTCTGCACTCTCCTTCCCTCTCACCCAATGTGGGATTTTGACTGGCTCTGGGGAAGAAAAGTGGCAAAAACTGTTACTGTCCCATAAAGCAGAGTGCAAGACCTCTCTGAAAAAGCAAGCATCCCAGTGAGAAAGATAATAAAGCAATCTCACCTAAATGTACGTCCAACCCATCCTGTGTCATAGCATTGTACATGTATTTAATGGCCATCTCCAAGTTCTGTGAGCCACTGACACGGTTCCCGATGGTGTCGGTGAAGTCGGCCAGCCGTCTGTAAGAGCGGTTCTGGGCAGCTCCAAAAACAGCCAGGTCAATGATCTGTTTGGCCACATCAGCGTAGCCTGCTACCTTTGCAGCTACGTCTGAGCCTGGGATCACAGAGAAACACACAATAAATAACTCAATATTTAAGCCTTTTTTTGTTTATCCACCATGTTTTTTAACTTTTTAAAAGCCTTTCAGTCCAAAAGTCAGAATGCAAAACTAGCGTGTCTTTGTCACTTGAGTAGATACATTGAGTGTGGAGGGGATGACTGAGTCTGCACTTCATATCATTCTACACTAAATAGACCGGTGTGTAGGCAATGTCTTATATATCCAAAAATTGAGAAGAGAGAATCACAGGTTAGAGATTTAGCATATATGTTAAACAATGGGTTCCTGTTAATAAAAACATTCACACCCTTAGTCAATCAATTGACGTTGTCTGACTATATATTTTCTCAAGACTGTAAGGGTGTGTACGGAATGCGCTTGATTAACAGCTTATTTACTCTCGTATTGAGTTGCACGGGACTGATTCCTAGCAAAGCTTCACCACACTGTAACCTGTTAATATGTCCAACTAGCCAGAGTCATTGCAAATACGTGTGGTTCTGCATGGCCTTGAAGGAAAATTAACCTCTTTGACCAAATAAATAAACTCATCATTTCAAAACTGATTTCTATAGATAAACATACCTCTATTATTACTGCATGTCTGAAGGTAGGAGGGTTTGGGTTACCTTTCCTTGCAGTATGATTGGATACAGCCATTGACCTCATGGACCCAGCAGATTGAGGGTGACAGTCACACAAAGATGATAGCATGGAGAGAAACATGAAGAGAGAGAGGAGAGCCATCTGCAAATAGAACAACGTAGGCCTACATATGATTAATAGCTTCTTAATTAACCTCTGACAGGAAAATTACTAACAGGCTCATACTGACAACACGAGACACTACTGTATTTTCAGTTTGAGCAAGTCGTTTAGAAACTTGATCTGTATGCCAACGGTTCGGAAAATAACCAACAACCGAATGCTGTATGAGGCATGAGCTCAGAGAGTTGGTTTCAAATCACGAGTTTTAATACTGTAACACAGCTACAATTACTTTCGGTTTGGATACTGAGAGCAGGGCATAGACAGTGTATATGGAGCATAGTACATAACGTTAAAATTGAACAGCTTTACATTCAGTTAGGGCTCGACAACGTAAGTAGTAGCGCGAGCCATCAATTGAAATGCACCACTAAAGTAAGATAACTTTACGTTATACCGTTATAACACATTCACACCGCTTTATCTAGAAATAAGAAACGTTACGGCAGATGAAAGTCCTACAAGTAACATTAGCTGATTTAATCATATAACTTCATTTGAAATCTCCATAAAATATCACTAACCCTTTAGGCCTAGTAAGTGTCGTTGTTAAAGTTGACTATGCTGTTTGCTGGAATGCCGGAAAAAAATAAACATTATAAAGGTAAACTTCCGGTCCCGCTGTTTTCACAATAAAAGCACGATCTTTACAAATTAAAGGGTAGAGTTTGAGTTTAAACCATAGACTGTATATATGGTTTAAACCATAGACTGGTTTAAACCCCAAATAATTTTCATATAGAATAATATATTAATGAAAGACCTCATGATAATCAGCCTATTCAACAGCAATGTATGCATTGTAAAACTACTAAGAATTACTCCAGCACCACAAGACCGTGTACTTTCGTTATCAGAACAAGCAATACACGCCGTCCTCCGAGCTGGATAACTTCTGTCTGTAGCCCAGAGCTCAGGGACCGTCTACAAAGTGCAACGACAAAAACGACATTCTACAAAAATATTTCTCCTTCATAAAGTTCTGACAAAATCACTTCGTCTGTTGGTCAGTGCAGTACTACCAAATTCACATAACACCAAAATGTTACTTTACAAATTAATGGTTTACTACGTGGTATATCATACCACTTATTGTGTGTGAAGTTTTGTATATTATTTGATTTCCAAAGAAATAGCAGAAATATCATTACATAACATTATTAATTAATTAACCTAACCAGAAGGCATGATTTTTAATTTTAAAAAATTGCATTTTGACGTTTGGTGTGAATTTGTGCCAATTGCAGTTGGAAAGCGGACATTGCCACAATACGCCACTGTTGGAATGCGTTCATTAAAAGTGTAATAGTTTAAAACGCCACTATATTTATTTTTTAGAAAACACATTTTTGCTAAATAACACTTGATGGTAGCCACATTGGTCTTACATGTGGGGGCCCGGGGTCAAACAGCCATTGATAAGATTTCCACATCTCTTTGTCAACAATTTAAGTTGCCAAATAAGTGTCCAGTGTTTGGTATGTATTGTATCGACGCTGCAGAAAGCGACGTGGCGTTCATCCCTGTTCTCTACCACTAATCTTCTGCATTCCACTGCAGCCATTGACATTCACTGTCAATGTCCCAGCCTGTGCGAAGGGTCAGATGAGATATTTATTTTTACTTTCCTTACACCCTATTATGACCTTAGTATCTTACTTTATTTTTTAACTTATGTACAGAAGTTAAACTCCTGTTTACTTTCAGCAATTTGCTTTTTACATAATGATATATGACATCCAGTGTGTGTTTTGGAAAACAGCTCAGCGTTTGGCTCCACTCACATGCTGCTGACGTGGTTTAACACAGTAGATTGAAACCTTCTTTTGGCACCTCAATTATAAGAGGATGTTTCTTGAGGCTGGGAGGGAAAAAATGTCTGCACCACTGTGCAAACAAGTAGAACAAATGCTACAACAGCTTTTACCTGCAACTACATCTAACACGTCGTAATACCAGCTCAATACTAACTATAAGTGTCTGGACATTAATCTAACAATTGGATTGCTGTTGAACAATTTGTTTAAGAGTCTGTTCTTGGTTTGGCCTTTTTCACATAATATAGATGTTCTAAATTAGTGTGTGCAAATATATCATTATTGCCTGAGAGGTAAGTACACACTGATATATTGTGTATGCTTAATGGAAATATATGTAGAGTGGGTATGAATGGGAAGCAGGTCAATAACACAAAGTAAGAAGGACATGAGGTTTTTAAACATCAGCACACATGCTAGGGAGTGAATAGAATCAGTCCTGTTGTGTCGGTTATAAGAGAGCAAAGAAAAGCTAAATAAAGACAACGAGACAATATTAGAATTGTATTAAAGCCACATCTTTTATGCAGTAGTGATCCTCATAAAATACAAAATGTCAGCAATATACTTCTCTATTGGCCACATCATGTGCTTATCTTATCCGAGCATAGATTTTTGGTTGGTCTCCATGTTTATGTGTTAAAAATCAACGATTCAGCTAATTCATTATCAACTTTGATTACCATGACAATTAAAGCTTCAATATATTTACAAGTAAGTTATTATTCTACTAAAAATTATCCATATAAAAAACATATCCAAATAAAACATAGACATTTGATAATAACATTGAATTGTTTGTCAAATACACTACAAATATTTGAAAACAAAACTGAGCAGTAGGCACAAAGAGGCTTGGGAATGAGTAAAAACGGTACAATTTTAAATGTATCACTGACATAATGAACCTGGATTATAGTTTAAGCAAGTATAAATTAATACATATCAATTATAGTATCATCAGCATACTGTATACACTTACAGAGACCCCAAACAGAAAAAGGTTATTGTATGTAATCACCTGTTGATTGCTAGAAAGTTATAACTGTTATAACTCTGTAGGAGTAGGGTCTATATCAGACATCTTTCTGATATTTCTGATGGTATGGATGTCCAAAATGTCCCTTTATCCTGAAATCCAGTTGAGGTTCTGCGCAGCTCGTTCAAAACAACTGATAAAATGTATAGAAAAATGTGTTGTGAGAGTTCAAGTGCCTCACGTATCATGTTACCAACAGTAAGTCATAGTGGGATAGTTATAAGAAGTCTTGTTTTATTCCAGCCGTTTGCGTTTGGAAAATCTATTATTACTTTAAAATAATGTGTTCTATTATGGCAAAGTATATCATGTAAACACTAATAAGTAGGGCTATAGGACAACAAATAAATGTAACCGCAATCACTTTTACCGACGTTAGATGGCCTAATAAAGACAATCAAACTTTTAACGGACAAAAAAAAACACCACTACAACTTTGACTTTAACCTCAAAATCAACAAAGTCTCATAGTTTACAACTTAATCCAGACTTTGTATCTATAGATCACTGATCAGTCATTTGGATGACCAAAGGTGGTTACAAAAATTATTTGACTTTTTCCAAAGATTATAAAGCCAAAGATATGACTACTTCAAGACCTTTGCCATAAGAGACTATGTGAAAAGGTTTGCTCTTTGACACATAAGGTAGCTGGCTGATGATAAACTTCAACGAGGGCTGATGTAAACAAATGAAAAACGCTGTATACAAGTAAGAATTATGTGTCATTCTCCTTTGGTTGGCTAGTTGAGGTAAAGATTCATAATTAGAAAACCTGACACTCTCATATTATAACTTATGTAAAATTAAGTAAATAAATAACTGTCAGTAACGTTGTCACTGTTTTCATAGCTGCTGTTGAAGCTGTACAGTTGACAGTCACAGAGGAATGTGCTTTTGCCACTTCAGAAATCATTGGTCACTTCTACACCTGAATTATAGTAATCAGCCTTGGCTCTGCCTTAGCAATCACCAAAAAGATAGTCCTGAAAATAAATCTAATGGTTGAAGGCATACATAAGGCTATCACTGTATGAATACAACGAAATACTAAAGTCTCCTTTAAAAATGGCTTATAGAAATATAATCTTTAAACATCAAACACGTGGGAAAAGCTAATAAAAAATATTTTTCCAAAAGACAAATAAAGCATATTTATATTTGGTCATGTCTAAGTGTCAAATATCTGTGAGGAAACAACAAAAAGATGTACCTACAGAGTAACACAATCTCTCATACCAATACTGGACAGCATATAACAACAAAAAAAAACATTAATTCCTCAAAACAATAAAAATAAAATAAAAATAGAATTCAGCAAAGAAAGCGTACAGAAGATGAAATGTAATAATGAAAATGTCAACACCGAAGATTTGACCTAAAAAAGAGGAAGAAGGGTTTACATTTTTTAAGGCCCCTTGTAATAATATTCCGATATATAGTACCATTTTATTTAACGGCATTCAAAATGCGTGAAGGCTATTCTATTTACTTCCTAAAGGTTGGCAAGCTGATCCGGGACAGTTCAGGCTGTAGCTCTGTGAAGGGAACAACTGATCTATGTGCAGAACAAAGCCCAGCCCACTGTGGTTCAGCTAACAGAAGTAATGTCTAAAAGCCCAGTGTTTTCAGAGAATTACCTTCCTAGACTAGAACAGTTGTGACGTATTGTGATATGCAAACTATTTCTCCACTGAAATTGAGGATGTGCATTCAATCTTTCTCCAGAATGGAATGAAGGGAATGTTTTGTAAGTCTTATTTCTTCCCTTATGAGCTCTTCTTGACCAACACTGAACATCATATGGCGACATGTGAAACGGTAGCAGAGGGGAAAGGTAGGAAATATGCAGGGAAATGTTGGTAGCGCTGAAGAAAAACAGAGGAACTTGACTTCATCTTCAGTCGTCTAAAGGTCCATTTGAGTCCTGATTGAGAGGAGTCAGACTCCATTGAAAGTCTTTATTGGTCTGTTTAGGCGTAGAACTCCTTGGTAGACGCTTTGTGATAGGCTGTTGTTGAAACTTTGTTGTCCCCCAGGGCGTAGCTTCCTTCGTCCTTCTTCTTCATACGGTAGGCGAGGAGGAGGAGGAGGAAAACAGCAAAGAGGAATCCAACTACTCCGCATGCTATAACCGCTGGAAATGGCATGAAAAAACGAGGTTGATATACATTTCTGATGGATAATCTTAACATCAAAGAAATGGTTTATCATAAATAACCTCATCTGTTTAGTCTTTAAATTCTCCCAATGAGTAACCACATTAAACTAGACACATGAGGACAATAAGGGAAGTCATAATCTGTCCTTACCTGCCAGCACCTCCGTCCTCTCCCACATGTTCTCAGAGGTCACCTCTTCAGGAGCCTCCATGTCATACATTCTGCTGCCTCGGCCATTATTTGGCACAATCTCGTTTTCGTCCTGTCCGATCAGGACTTCATCATCACGGTTTTTCGTTGCTGAGTCATCCAAGCTGTCCAGACTGTTGTCCTCGCTGATATCTTTGATTACAGTGATATCCATGCCGAATTCGGTGTCAGTATTTTTAGTGGTAGGCATGTTGGTGGAGCTGGTCATCTGTGTGAACCAATCAGCAGTTGGACCTGCCACCTGGAGAAATATATGCAGTTAATGCACTGAGTAATTTAGGGCTGGAATAAACATTGAGACATAATATGGATTTGATACTATCCTTGTTACCACCATGTTAATCATGAAGTGGATGTTAAAATCAATTCTAAAGGGAGTTTGGTTCATACAGCTGGAAATCAATACGATATTTCATGACAGTATTCCATTAGAACTTGCATTTGCTAACATATATTAGCAAAAGAAACTGTCCCTACTGCATTAGTTATCAAAAAGATCAAAGAATAACCTAAGTGTGTGTGACTTGCTTAAATAGATAGTTCACAAATAGAGTGGTATTCTACCGTTTCCCACAGTCTACTAATGAATTCCATAAGACAGACCTTTTTGTATTTGGTTAGGTCTGAAGTATAGCAATATTAGGCTATGTTGGCTCTATTGATGTTCCTATGGGATCAAATAACATTGTCATGATCCCGTAGGCATCTAGGAATTGAGCGAAACTAAGCAGGTAAACTTAAGTGGGATTAGTGGGGGGCGCCTTTTTTCCAAGCTTTGAATATTGGGAGGCTGCCAGTCTCTCCTATATTATTAGAGGTTTTGTCTTGGGACATATTTTATCAGGATTCTTACTTTAAAATAAGAATTTGTTTAAAAAGGGAAAGCAATATTTTACCTCCTCGTCACTCTTGTCCCCATTATATGAGGTGAATGGCGTTGTCTCCGTGTCCTTCTCTTCTGTCGTTGCATCCTGACCGTCTGCTGCTGTGGTCGATGGCTTGTGAGGAGAGTCTGATGTTGGCTGTGGTCGAGTTGGAACCATTTCTTTGGAAACTGTGGTCTCGGAGAAGTTGAGGAACCTCCTGATCATCTCCTCTTTATCTGTGAAAGCTGAGGTAGAGGAAACAAAATCAACAAAAATCTAAAACTAGTCACCTTCAACCTGACATTATTAAACGGTAAACCCTTTTAGCTTTATATATACTCAAACGTTATTGTAAAGATGACATTTTGTAGGTACATGGTTTGAATTAGATAGCAACAAAATGCTAAAATGTGCCCTTGAGGTGTTGATAAACAAGTTCTTCTCACTAGCAAGAGGAATGCAACGTCACTAAACCGCCTTTCTTCTCATGTTGAGATCACAGTAAACTGTTCCAACACATTATTCACTGTGGGCATAAAGGTGAGTCATCATGGAGGAAGTGAGCATCGGACATCTGTGCGGTTCCAATAAAACCTCACCTGGCTAACAGTTCCACGTCACCCCAGGATAAACATCTGGCACATCTGAGTGCTTCTGTGTCTCAGTATGCCAGTGTCTAGAGAGCACATGTTGCTCATTCATCTGATGGAATAGATTAGGAAACACACCTTGAGATAAGGAAAACCTTTGTCAAACTAATTGCTTGTAAGAAATCTTGGCCCCGTTTCCCAGAGGCCTTTAAAGACTAAGATGATCTCAGACCCAATTGTAAGTTTAGACACTTTTACGGAAATAAAAACCCTGAAATGTGGACCAGAAGAAACAGAACATCTATAACATTCACGTTGTGTTAAGATTTCTAAACAGAAATCATGATGTTCAAAAGAGTATGAAAAAGCTAAAAGGGAAAACTTCCCAAAGGCTGTAAACTCAGCTTTATTTGAATAAACAAGCAGTGTCCATGTTTCTGGTATCTTTCATTTCATCTAGCCATGAAAGTGTCATAAACCTTTCTTCTTTTTAGAAAAGTTATTATGTATTAAAGAACCTTGACTCACCTATTCTCAAAAACAATATCAACCGATCAATGTAAGGTGGAAACCAAAATGATTTCCATTGCTAAAAATGATAACAATAACAAAACAAAGACGGTGTTATCCTAACCGTAGTCTCCGGATCCAGAGCCCGAGCCGTCTTCACCATCCTCATCATCTATGGGGAGGTCACCTGACGTCCGGCCCTCTAGGTACATGTCCTCTGTCGTGGAGAACGGTGTTTGGGACGATACCAGCAGCTGGAGGAAGAAGACAAATATATAACAGACATTATAAATCAAGCAGAAGAGGAATACTAAAGGAGAAGAGAAACAGGGACTCACAGATCTCCTTTATTCACACATGGAGCATTCCTTCTACTTATTGAACAGTTGAGCGTCTCCAGTTTGGGATCCAGATATGATCTAGAACAGTCATTGACCTGTGCTGGCCAAACATACCAGTGTTCCCTCTGTGTGTTTAACCAGTGTGTGTATTGCATCCATACGCAAGCATATACAGTCAATATAGGCTGCTTTTTTGTTTTGTTACTTTCATGTGTTCTCACAGACAGCCAGTGTCTTAGAGCGGAGGCAGGAGAGAGAGAGCCGTTTCGAAGGCAACGCACAGAACAGAGAAGTGGACACACACAGACAGAAATCATCAGGAAGCCTCCCACTTACCCAAACACTAGACAAAGGAGCGCGATGACAACTCTACTTGTCTCGTCATGTAAAGCTTAGTATGACACAAGAAACGCGGCTCCAACTAGAGCAGGGGTGGGGAACCTTTTTCCTCTCAAGGGCCATTTCAATTTTTACAATATCCTCAGAGGGCCGTACAAATTATTGACCTCTGCTTAAAAAACTAAAATCACAGCCCATTCACTTCATTCTGTGCAAAGAAAAAGCAACCTCTTAATCCAGATATCTCACCATGACTCACGTATGCATGCACGGTGTGGCGTGACCACCACAACAGAAAGATATGGACACAAGATGTGTGCAAATGTATTTAGTTTCCTATCCATGTGAACATGATTTAAGTGGGGGGACCTAACCTCCTCTAGGGGGGTCCGGGGGGCATGCTCCCCCGGGAAGATTTGTTTTTAAATGTTGAAGTTAAAAGCATCAATCTGGTGCACTTTGAGAGCAACATTAAGAGATCTATGGAAACATCTCTCAACACCCAGATGAAACAGAACTTTCTTTATGAATATTTTACAAATCACTCTCCTTTCAAACTGTATTCTTCTTTATTAATAACAACTTTTTTTTACTGTCATATAGTATTTTATACCCGTTTACTTTATTCTCTTATTTTTGTATAACTATAATGATCATATAAAGATGTGCCTTTACCTCATGGTTGGAGAAAAAGCTTCTTATATTCGTTAGCATAGCTAGCTAACTAGATGCTAATAACAACAAAGTTATTGACTGTCTGATCAGTATGACAGATGAGCAGATCGCCACTGGGCTTTCAACTAAAGACACAGACACGCAGAAACTGCAGCATGTGTACGGCTCCTTATGGGTACTGCAATTTTTGGAAGTGCAGGAGTGACGTTCTGGTGCTGTCCGTCAGAACTGCACTCCTGTCAGACGAGACATATACCACGTGATGACACGTTAGGCTCGTGTGTTGTGTTCAGCAACAACATGACCATGGCCAGGAAAAACAGGCACTCGCTTGTTTAATTTTTTTGCGGTCTAGATTTCTTACTTTTTTGCGTGTGTTTATAAATTACCTCGAGGGCCGTACCAAATTGTCTCGCGGGCCGTATACGGCCCGGAGGCCGGAGGTTCCCCACCCCTGGTCTAGAGGCATTAGGTACGTAGATACAGGTGTTCATCAGCTTTTAAAAAATAAGAATGATTTAATGTCTGAGGCAAAAAAAGCTGTGATAACTTCAGAAAGATGGTAATATAACAACAGCTAAAAAAAACACATCAAAAGAAAGCAGACTGATAATGAGTCTGAAACTCAAAAACAGAAGAAAGGCTGAGCAGATGTGGCTGGTAAGAGAGAGAGACACACACATGGATGAATATGGCCCATTGAGACTTTAAATATGTCTGGTATGTATACTATGCTTCCACTAACACAGGTGCTGAGAGAGGGAGAAAGGAAGCGAAGGAGAGCGGGAGACAGGGAAAGTACTGTATGTTTCTCATAGAACAGGTGCTGGGGATAAAGGAGGAGGATTTCTTAGTACAATAAATATTCACACAAGAGGGAAATGAGGGCATAAATACATGATAAAGCATCCCATGTCAACACTGCCCTTTCACTTGGCAGTTTACATGATATAAAGAATCTGAAAAGTGTGTTTTTACAATAACTGCAGACCAACGCACTTCATCTAATAAATGCAGTTGCTTCATTCTGATTGGACTTGATCTTTCATATAAATAACTACTGTAGAAACGTTGGCTTATTTTCCTCCTGAGAAATCTGATATTTGTATTCTAGCTATCTGAGATGTAACAAAAGAGACCTATTGTGAAATAACTAAATCTAGATTTCAAAAAGGGAAGATGTTATCTTTACACCGAGGCACATGATCTTCATACTGAAACTGAGCAAGATTCCCTTTTCAGAGCACAACAGCATGAAGTACACTGTTGTTCATGTGTGGGATCAAAACCTAACTTTAGAACTATATTGAGCTCTGGGAGAAACAGCTCAGAAGTCAAACAAAAGTCTGCATGAAGTCAAATGATCATATTTTTACAAAATGATTATGAAAGTCTAATGATATGTATGTATTGCAAAGCTCTTTTGTATTGTGAGCAGGCGTAGGAGGGTTGCAGAACATCATTATTGTTATTATTAGCTATCAGCACCATTGTGAAAAATGTGCGGCCAATGGACTCATTTCATATTCTACTGCAGACAATTTAACATTGACAATGAAACAAGAAGCCAAAAAGAATCAGCTGTCCCTTTCTCTCTCCTTTTGCCAGAAAGAAGTTATGCGTAACGGTTCACTGGAAAACTTGACTCAGTCAGAGGTCTCACACATCTGGAAAACATACACACACAGAGCTCACACACATACAAACAGACTGTATACAACCATATGGTGTCCTGCTGCGTCGTCCAAGTGAGGACAGTTTCCTGGAAACAGCCAGGTCTCAGTGATATTACAATACAGAAATTCAATATGGGGGAGTGAGTGCTTTGGAGACTGCGTTATAAAATCCTGCAATCAACATTCCATATTTTTGGAGTCTGTGGAATGAATAGTTATTATTACAGTGAGCTGAAAGCATATGCTGTAAGTCAAAGATAATGAGAGAGCAGTCGGGTCAAGAGTGAGGCTGTGCAACACAACAGACCTGTCACCACATGAAGACAGCAGCACTGAACGCTGCGTGTGCAGAGGTGTTTGTTTGATCAACGCTGAAATGAGTCATAACATGTTTGACCCCCTCAAAGTCAAATGTGTCAATAGAAGTTATATTCTCCAAATGCTTTACAAAAGGGGAAAATAAGTTATAGTAAAACGGCATGGACAGAGTTTGGAAGGACTTTACAGAATTATGAATCTTTCAAAAGACATAATGGCCAAAACGTCAGCGGAAGCCAGAGTGTGCACTACTGACTACTTTTAAGTCTACGGTGATCAGAACACTTGGTTTGGTTACTTTTTTAGGATTTTAAAATGTACACAGATGGACATGGGAATAAAATAAAAGACATAATATTGCCTTGGGTTTATATATTGAGAAAATATTGATGTCCTAATTGAGATATGTATCATAGTTATCTGATCTATTGACCCCAAACTAAAGGTCACATTATCTGGCAGATTGTCATCCGGTTAAAAACATTTATTTTGCGGTTGAGCAAAAGAGTGTCTCAACGCAAATATAAAGTAACAACATCACTGGTATTTACCATTTTAGAAAAACCAAGTTGTTTAATTTGTTACTCTTGTTAACTCATTTCTGGTCTAGTTGTACAACCAACAGTCTGGCAGTAAATGTAACCCTGACAGACCAAAAAGGATGTGAACAGTCTCCCCTCCATATAAAGAACAGAGCTGTGACTAATCCTGCAATACTTGTAAACATCTAGTAAGTACACCATCTGTATACCAAGTCTAAGCAGCTAGAGGAAATCAGCATTCATGGATTATCAACACTACTTAAAAAAAATGTGTTTGTCTTTCTGTCAGCTGTGTTTAATTGGCACAAAAAAACATTAAAAATAATTAGAGCAGGGATCATGCTTCCTCTTGCCTATGGCAGGGAGTGTAAACTCATGCAGATATATGCTTGCCTGGACTGGCCCAGAGGGACTCACTGTGAGTCATCCATCCAGAAAATGATACAATTAGCAGGCCAAAAACTCATGAGATGGGAGCGATGTCAGCGAGTGACTAACTCGTAGTTCTACAGCCACACTCAGAGAAAACGTTTTAATATACACGGTCATCCATCACGCCTAGCAATTTAGAACCAAAGTGTATTAGTGGCTTAAAGTAATAGGAAATCAAATAGTTGAATTACATTTGTTACAAAAAAAAGTTGTTTACCAGTAATCACATCCTTTTATCCTGTGTTTAAACACATGGGGCCTGACGTGGGAAAACATCCCATTAAACTGTATTTATGCCCCCAACTGTTTCAGTATTCAGCTAATGTGTACTGCCTTGCCAGCTCTGCTCCACACAGCCAGCAGCATGGTCTCAGGTTTCAGCTCTTTCCCTTTCACAATAATCACTCCATGAATCCTACATTTCACACATTTCTGGAGAGGTGGCTCATTTCCCTGGCCCTCATTTGGGACTTTTTATAGGGAATAAATCATGGTGCCAACATATTTCTTAACTTTCACAATGTATAGAGATCTCAGTTGTCATTTCCAGGTGTTTTCCAGCTTTCCAACAGACACATATATGGAAAGGAGGGGAAGGACAGGGAGAGATGTAATCTTCTAGTTTAGAAACAGTCTGACTTGTCAGATCAGGCAGCATTTCGTCATTCTTAGCATTCCATCTTTAACTAAATATGTATTTGTTTCTGATAAATCATTTCATATTAAGTTTAAAAACTTGACACATGCCCTCTGTGTGGGTGGAAAATGCAGGCCAGGTCTCGAGGTTTGGTAAATGCCAAAGCTGTGAGCTACAGGCTGAACAGACTTTGGCCCTCAGTGGACTTGAAGCCAACTGGAGGCATGCAGTGGTTTGAGTACATAATAAAGTAAGAATATCAGTGGTCCCAGGTTAGCTTTCATGTAAATAGCCTAGGCCTGTGTTGCTTCCTGGAAGACAACACTGCTAGATAAAACAATTATCATGCTTATTTTCATGTTGATAATTTATTGGTACAGGCTTACAGAAAAATATCAACGACGACCATAAACATAAGTATAATTTGAAAATATACACAAAACAAGCTATGACGGTTTAACTTTAACTGTTGGGCTTGAGTGGGAAAACACTATTAAACGGAGTCTCGCGTTCTTTAACTCAACAGCTAATACATGTCTTTTCTCAGGATAAAAGAAAGAAAAAAATCAATGTTATTATTGTAGTACACATTGAGGAGTTAAATAGGGATCGTTTTTCGAAAAATAAAACCGAAATGAAAAACTACTTACTTTTTCACTGATAAACCCAGTCGCCAGTCCAACGAGAAACAACAACCACATATTTCTCATTTTAACTTCCGAAAAGAGACGACAGTTGTAAAGGGGAAATATATATATTAAGTTAAACAAAACTAATTATATACACTGAAAAAGCTAAATTCTTCGTTACGATAATTCCTCGTCGCGTTTAAGGCTGGGGTCTTCGGCTACTTTGTTCAATCTCGACACTTTGATAGACGGTTGGACGCGTTGTGGTGAGGAGTTCCTCTGGAAAAGTTGTTTGGACTCGCAGTGCAGCGTGGCTCCGTGGTGACGTCAGCACGACGTGACGTCCATTGGGGGCGTGTCAACACAAACACACGCACACAAACAGACACACACACACCTCTACTCGTGTAGAATAGTTATATAACAAATATAATCAAAGTCAAAATGTAATAATTTATTTTTATAATAGTTATTTATTTCTATATATATATATATATATATATATATATGCATATTGAAAAACTATGCTTTCACGATTTATGTAACACCTCCACTGCTTCGATGTCGACATTCGCCAAGGAACATTTATAAAGAAACTGTTTCGTGTGATCTGGGTTTTCAAATGTCCATCACTGTGTTGGCTCTAATCATTTCATCCCACTACAGTAATTATAACGTTTTAATTTTACAACTTTTACGGTGGAGAAAAGTAAAACATTTTTAGGGTCAAAGGCTCACCACCTAAAAGCTGCAAGATGTCACACTTTTTTATAGAATTGAGTTTCTGTGAGAAAAGCCAAATCAGATCAACTGTGAGTCAATGTGGTACTAAAAAAATAACCAGAACATTTCCAACAGTGAATATTTTTTAATAGGCATCAAATATGATAAGGGGATACAATAGTCAAAAGGTGAAGTATTTGGCTGGAACTTGAAAAATACACAGTAATATAAGGCTTTCCATCATGTTGGGATTTTGACCCCTGAAAATAAAGCACGATCTACAGGTGATTCCTCACTACCTGTTATATATCTGTCATTGTCAATCACATCAGATAATTATGTGATAAATTCTTGCTTTTTCCATGGAGTAAATGTTTCTGGAAGTCTTTATTTTCTGACGGATGTTACACTGTAATCACTCAGATTAACACATTCTTAAATGCTGAGCACAGATGAAATAACACTCTATAAACATTGACAATAGACTTTACAACTTCATTGATTAATATTACTTTAAATCAGTTTAACACACTTTGTTTCACCTATGAATGAAATGAGGGACAATAATGTAACCTGCTTTTATGTTAGTTGTATTGTTATCAGTTTGTTCCAATGCGGCCACTTTACCACAAACTGATATGAAACCACTCATGGCAGAGTAATACTGATATGATTGGATATGAAGATATAATGACTTTCTGAAACAACCATTAAATAGTGCAACACATGAGGGGGACACAGAAGCACACACATAACATTGCAGTCTCCAGACAGATTTGAATGCAGTCTCAACCTCTACTTTAGGCATGGCAAAGGAAGTGCGTAACCAAGCTAAAATGTCCAGCCTTTTGCAGAAAACTCAGGAGGTCCGGAGGTTGTAAAACAATCGTCTCTAAAGCTGAAGAGTCTGTAGGAGGTCTGTGGAATTTTACTGGGCAGAGGTCAAAATCATCTGATTCCTGACCTGATGTCTGATGCTTTCATATTTCTCTTCCAAACCTGAGGGATCTGTATAACAAACAGAAGATAAGACAATAAGGATTCGATCTTCAAACAATATTTTATATGGCATTATAGTTTGTTTGTGTTTGTTTGTGTGTGTGTCTCACTAAAGGAGGTACTGAAGGCATTAGGTGTCGCCCTAGGAATGACAGCAGTCGTCTCCATATCAGCCCGCTGCCCAAGAACATGAAGCCGGTCACCAGCCAAAAGACACGAGGGTCCTGGTAATAATCACAAACAGTGTAAGGTTACCCTGTATAAACATACACATGATGCAGTATGCACATGCAGACCCATGGAACAAAGCTAACAAATACACTCAAAGGATGTTCCACGGACAGAGGAAAGCTAAGAAATGAAACACACAAGTAGACCTGCATCCACATGTCCAAAAACAAAATCTAATGTGTAAAAAGACAATACATACAGCTTTAAAATGAACCTTCAATATAGATTTCTAAACAAAAACATGTGTTGAAAGAATTACATTTATTTTCTGTTAAATATTTTTAAAAAGGAATACCCAATATAAAATACCAAGTTTAGTCTTAAAACGGTATCGGGCACAATCATTAATAAAGGCTTTCAAGTATTTCAAGCTAAGGAAAGGAGAAAGTCCTCATATCTGAGAAGTTTCAAACACAACTATCCATCTTCAGATACGATTTAAGTCTTTCACAGGAATCTGACTCACCTCTTCGAAGGAGGACTCCAAATTCATTCCAAAAGCGACCCCTATCAGACCAAATAGGGAAAGGGAGAAGGATCCCATCGCCAGCTGCAGATTCAGGCGCATCATCACATTACGATGGCTGGAATAAACAGACAGCACATGTAGAGCTCACAAGTTTTTTTCACCATTTTTTAAAATGGGAAATATGCCTTTAATGGGTCAGCAGCTTTGAAAATAGGTTCAGAATTTGTCATGTCTGTATCAAAACAATAGTCAACTGCCCGAATGTATATGAAACCATTATTGTTTGTTTAATTATTCATCATGTTCATATTAAACAATCCCTTCCTAATGAGCTGTACAATTTAGTAAAGGGGATACATTACACAGCCCTCGTTTGGGGCAAAAATGTATTTATATATCTGATGTGATGGCTCAGCAGTCTGAGTTAGACAAAGCAAACGGATATATTTTGAGGTTACAGTGTTTAGAACAAAGTTCCACATTTTTTGCAGGGAATCACAAACTAAAAACAGACAATAACTTTGAAAAAAAAACGATACCCACTTGATTTGTATGACTGAGATAGTGCCACTTCAAGTAAGGTTCCCAAAACATTTTTGAATTTATTTTTTCAAAGAAAGGGATGTGTTTCTATGCGTTTTGTCACCAAAACAGTACATTATGAAAACATCATATAATGATTACAGCAGAGAAAACTGTTTTCATTGTTCGTATGGGCATCTGACTACTGTTTGAAGACAGAGTAAAGAACAATAAAGAGATTTGATACCAAATACAAACATGATTCATTCCAATATTATATGCGCAGTTCAAACTAAATCCCGTTAACAGTAAGAAATTAAACACATCTCAATTGTTGTATACATGAACAGTCCCTATATTTGTAGGCCATATAATCACTATGTTCATATTGCCACTATCCCAACATATATAATATATTCACATGTATTGTATAGTAGGCTATACCCAGTATGTGCGTGTGTACCTGTCCAGATTGATGAAGACAACACTCTCAGAGTCGTCTATCAGCCCTTTCAGCTCTCTGGTCTTGTTCGCCAGCTCCTCAGCCTGTATGGAGTTAAATATTGTGTACTAGCGGGTTCAACACTACAATAAATGTGCAAGTACAAATTCATGTTATATTATAGCATTTTAAATTACACTAAGAAAAAGTTAATTATAAATAATGAGTTTATTTTAAAATGGGAATTATAAAATCTTAATCAGAAATCTTAAACATGTTTTATTCTAACTGCTTAAGTAGCACTACCTGCATATAGTAATTTTCCAACAAGAGTTCCATCTCCTCCGCGTGGTCAATACCCAAACTGCTCTCCTCACTGTAAAGGCAGACAGAAAGACAATGTCCATAAACACATTGAATATAGTTCTGGTTCTAGAAATACCTGGTTACCAAAACGCGTAAAAATCGGTACGATCATTTATTATTTCTAAGGAATAGCTCAACAGAACGAATTAGTCAAAACCTGTTCATCAATACAATAAGATTACCGCCAAAATAATCACGCATTGTCACATTTACGCATCGCTTTACGGACACATAAATCGATCGGAAAAACACAGACATCTCAGGAATCCCGGTACATATAGGCCTACACAATGATCTAATGTCAATGAAAACGTGTTCGTGACAGAAACAAAATACATTCAAACGATTTGGAAGTGTCTAAACTAGATACGCTACAAAAAGACCATTATTTCGGAAACACACCTATCGCATGGTGTTGGCATTTCTTTGAGTATCATCCGACCGCGTGGCCTAATGGATAAGGCGTCTGACTTCGAATCAGAAGATTGAGGGTTCGAGTCCCTTCGTGGTCGTCCTTTTGAATTATTTTAGAAGATTCACAATACTTAAGCCCTAAGGATGTTTCGCTTTTTAAAGACGTATTTAATACAGTTTAACATCTTTAAACTTAATTTTCACGTTTTAATGCTTATTTTCATCATATTGAACAGATGAGGCATTTTAATTATTCATATTTGTATTTAAAGAATGAATGCAATTTCAGCAAATCAAAAATAAATTATGTTCATTCATTCACAATAAGCACAACACTTGTTTTAATAAGGTTATGAGGGAAAAATATAAAATAAAAATTTTTATGATTTTTTTATTAATTAATCATTAAAAAACTAAAAACATATTTACAACTTTACACATACAGCAGAAACAAATAGGTTGTGTCCTAAAATGTTACTTAGGACAATGCAGTTAATTCTGCCAAGCCTGAATGTAACCAAACCAAAGCCCTAGCAACAACCAATTAGTTCATATTTAAACAGGAAAAAAACATTTTTAGAAGGGCAACTACACGACGACACCTTGGGAATCTAAAGTACTCTCCTCCTTCAGCTTTTACATAAGCCAGTGACTGCGACATTAATAGAGATTTTAAAAGCCTTTAGTATTCATGTTAATGTATGTGATGTTAATGTATGTGAGGGCATGCGTAACTTACAAAACTCTCGGGTCTGTCCACTTTGTCAAACACAGTTCTTCAATGATCTCCTCTTCATCCAAAATCTTCAGCAAGGTATCCTTAAAGACTTTTATGTCGGTCTCCAACTCTGATAAGCTGTTAGAGGTACAAGAGGCAGGAGTGAAACTCAGCGAACAGACAAAACTAAACACTTGAATGTTTACTATGAATGTTTATGCCTAACATGTCCAAGTGAGTCCATAGTGCTTGGATCAATTATGAAATACTGTGTTAAAAAACAGCTAAAAGTGACTGAAGAGGTATTTAGGCAAATGGCTGTGCTTTGAAAAAAATGAATTTAAAGTGAGACCTAAATAAAAGCTGAAAATAGAAGATGGCGGATGAAAACCAGAACAGTCCCAGAAGTTATGACACGTTTTTTCATATCCATAATTTAGAAAATGCATTGCTATATTGATGCTATGTACCCTAATTTATAAGCACCATGCCAAACCTTTACAATGCATATGGTTGTGTGCTTTACCTCTTGCTGTTCTGCAGCAGAATATGCAGTTTACTTCTATCAACCGAGAGGATTTTAGGATCCACCAGTGACTCTAATGTGTCCAACAATACTGGTTCCACATCATTCAGCAGAGCATGTAGAGTGTTGACCTATTGACACAAATACAATAAGTTACATACATGCATAAGCACACATTGCTTTATCTTGGATCATAGACTCATCTATACAGAGACTTAGGCTGATTTTGACCAAAGTTGACTACAAAGACACACAGTGTTGCTTTAATCTATTGCACCTTGTGCTGCAAGATGGCCTCTAGTGCTGTGAACTCAAAGGGCAGAGAGTGCGACTGTGATGCTAGCTGAGGGGCCAGCTCCAGAACCAACCAACGCTCCAATCCAAAACCACGAAAATCCAACACCAAAAGGGACTGCGGGGTCAAGATGGCTTTGAAAGACTGAGGAAAAACAGAGAGGGGCAGGTTAGCATCTTAAAAAAACACTGGAACACGTACACTGATCCCGGATGTTTGCTACATGTATGCTAATCCATTAAGAACCTCATTATTTTATGACTCGACATCATCGTTTGAGGTTTTTCTGGCAACAAATGCAAGGCTTTGTGTAAGTTGATTTATCTACATGAGAAATTCACGTAAATGTGCCTGTGCTGAGTATGCGTATACTGTACAGCTGTGTATGCAGAACTACATTTGGATGAGTGCAATCCCAATAGCAGACTCTGATCTGTAAATATTTGCGGTGAGAGACAATCAGATAGAGTCGCACATATCATAGCTAGTGACCAGATTCTGAAACTGTGTCCCCAGTAGCACCCCTTCCATATAGGACTGAACACTGTCAGTGTGTCACAGTGTGAGGAGACGCAGCTACCGCACAGAAAGCTTCCAGTACTCCAGGTAACGCACCGGCAATGCTCTGTAACTATGTATTTTGTTTTTAGCACACAATCAACAACAAGAACAGACGCAAAGTGCAAAAACGCAAAGCATTCTGGTATCCAAAAAAAGCTAAGTCAAATGTTAGCATATATAATTATATGAATCTACTTGTAGCATCAGTCACTTACTAATTATAGTCCAGACTAAATGTAATGTAATTGTTTATATTTCCAACAGTTGTGGTAGTTTTTTTTTCTTTTCAATTGTATACACATTTAGTTTCTGTTATCCGTTGTTTTAGTTTAGTTCTGCTAATGTTATTTCTTTATGTAAGTTGTCCGTGACCATTCAAAAGAGGTTACTGTATAAGAGATTCATGAGTAATCTACGCACACTATTAATAACTTACAAGAGACAAGACCAGTAAAGAAAGTGAAAATAAATATCCAACAAAAAATACATTTTAGTAAGTTAACTCACTTTTAGCACACTCGTATTATATTTATTTATTGATTATGTCAATACTTTAAAGTACATGTCACTACTTTATTCTAACTGCAGGATGTCGGTGAAGCTGCTCGGTCTCTGCCTGCTGCTGGGTGTGTTGTGTCTGAGCTGGGCAGACGATAAAATGTGCCTCACATCTGCCTCCAGCTGTGATGAGTGCATCCAGTCTGGCCCGGAGTGTGCCTGGTGCACCGCCCCTAACTCTAACATCCGCTGTCAGACCTTGAAGGAGCTGCGGAGAGCCGGCTGTCGTAAAAGACACATGTATAACCCTCAGGGCAGGCTGCAGGTTGTCAAGAACGACAGCAGGTAAGTGTCATGGTGTAAAGATGCACTGAAAAACCCATCTTATCAGGTTAAATCGCTAAAACTACCCCAGACTAAGGTGACACTGGTGCTAGAGTCAAAACACAAAGACTTCTAAAGTTTTGCTTTTCTCCGGTAGCACCGAACCATCAATTGCCACAGCCATGTTCATCCAGCCCCAGGAGCTCTCCCTCCGTTTGAGGCCAGGTGTGAGCCAGCCCTTCCCTCTCACTATCACCATGCCTACAGACCAGCCTATCACAGAGCTGACCATGGACACCAGCCCTTTGCCAGCAGGACTAAACCTCACGTTTAGTAGCATCCTGAAGGGGAACCCTATGGTCGTACAGGTCAGAAAATTAAGACACCAGGGTATTCGGAAAAACAAGTTATTGTAATAATCAAGTCTGTCTGCTCTAGGTGAATGTTGAGGCTGCTCGGTGTCCCAGTGAGAGGGACGACTCAACCCAGAGGCAGAACAGGACTGGGCCCTGGTCTGTTCTCATCACACCCAGAGGCTTTTCACTTCTGAGTGTGAAGACCGAGATAACTCTGGAGTGTGAGTACAACTTCAGAAACATGCTACAGTCAATGTACAGTCAAAGAGCAGGATATCAGGAAGTCCCCATATTTAACAATGGAATAAAAGGAGTCCTCCAATTACTGGAAGACTTTAACCCTTGTGACATAATTTAAAAGGAGTTTCTCTGATGTCAAAAATATCCACTTCAAAGCACTCCAATATAATTATATTATTTTCTAGTTTAGTTCTCACCAAAAATACCACATATTTCATCATTTCTTTCTCTCAAACTTGCCAAAAGAAATGCCACATGTTAAAACACAGCAAAAACAAAAGAGTCAAACATATTTACTTTGATGCATAAGGGGTTACTAGTCAGGATGCTTCCAAACAAAGCACACACTTTAGTATTGTAACAAATAACTTGCGCAAAACATGTCATATATATTTTTTCCTTAGGTCAGTGTGACTGCACAAAAAACCGTGAGAAAAATAGCCCTGGCTGCAGTAACCGTGGGGATCTGGTGTGTGGTCAGTGTGAGTGCCAGCAGCCTTATGTTGGACAACAGTGCCAGAGGGACAGCGACTCATTTATTTCCCCAAATGAAGACTTCTGTCGCTCTGGACCGAATGCCCCTGTCTGCAGCGGTAGGGGAAAATGCGTGGAGGGATTCTGTGAGTGTGAGAGACGAGTCAACCCAAAAGAGAGATACAGCGGGCGATACTGCGAGTGCAGCAACTTTGACTGTCCATACCAAAACAGCAGGTATATATGAGAAGATTAATAAGCCATGAAATATTAACTTCCCTTTTAATCCTGATTTGTTACAGAAACACACTAAGATTAAAAAGACAAAAACTCTATCCAACAGAATATGCGGAGGCCGTGGGAAGTGTGAGTGTGGAGAATGCATTTGTGATGATGACTGGACTGGTGAGGACTGCGGCTGCTCCATGGAAACTGCTTCCTGTATGGCCACAAATCAGAATCTGTGTAGCAATAAAGGGATGTGTCAGTGTGGGAAATGTATTTGTGAGCCACCACACACAGGCCCGACCTGTGAGGACTGCCCTATGTGTCATGGCACATGTAGGCAGCATGTGGACTGTGTGGAATGTCGGGCGTTCGGGACGGGGGCGAAGAAGGACAGGTGAGAACCAGGGTCATAATGTAAACTAAAACTTAAAGGACAGTGGGAAATATAATTGTGAACTGAAACTAAATTCATAATATCCCTTGATAGCAGATTCTCCTCTTAAAACAACTAAACATTAAGGCCATCTCTACAAACTTTCACCAACTATGTATTTTGTATATGTTAAATCATACATCATAATATATACCTGGCCCTATCAAAACAAAAATAAACAATGCCTTAAGAAAAAAAACTTTAAATGACCAAAACAATGAAAATGTGATGTTGCAGTTACTGTTTTATTCTTCCTCAGACACATATTAAGTTTTGCCATACATCTAAATACTTATTGATGTTATCTTATCTTATTGCTGTTAACATTGGCTGTCTCATTAGACCATGGGTATCTCCATCAAAATGCCACTACACTACACACTAGTTACACTTCACTGAGATATAATACCTCTCAACTGCTTTCTCTCACTCATTACAGGTGTGATCAAGAGTGTGGCTACCTCACTGTGACACTTGTGGAGACACAAGATGATATGCCTCAACCAGGAGAATCTATTGCTTTCTGTAAAATGAGGAGCAGTGATGATTGCGTCCTCTACTACACCTTCTCCAGGACGCCCTCTGGAGGAGAGGCCGCGGTGGTGCGGGCTAAGGAATGTCCTCGAGGACTGTAAGAGAGGACATCAGGAGTTTGTGATCCAAGAGTCCAGTTCTTCCGTACGTTGATGTAATGCCTTGTCCAACTGCAACTCCATGCATTGGTTCACTAAACACTTTGCTTTAATGTTTTGTTGTTCTACATTTGTCTTAATTATGGTAAGAAAAAAAGTAAATTAAATCATTTAAAGCTTAAAAATAATTAGAGGATCCTTCAGTTTATTTTACTTCCTTAAATCATCCTTGGGTCTAATTTACAAGGGGCTAACTACCTCTGCTTTCAAACAATGCAGGTGCATCAGCAGGAGTAGTTGATTTGAGTATAATGCAAAACCATAGTCATATTGGCTGCCATGCAATAACTACTGTTATCAAGGGTTTGAAGTAGACTTATGTTGGCAACATTTGTCTTAATCAACAGCCAGATCAAAATTATGTAGATTTTGTTGAATTAAAGAAATGTCTGATCAATCACAAAGTGAGCGAGCGAAAAAGAGCATACCTGCATCCGTATGATGATGCAGTTGTTCCTGGTTGTGAGGCTGGTACTGTGCTGAAAGCGAAGGTCTCTGGCCTGGAGACTGAGCTCCTGGCAAAGCTCGGTTTTCTTCTTATCTGTAAGAGAAAAAGGGAAGAAGATGAGAAGAAGGAAAATAGTGATGAGAAAATTCTCTGTTTCATATTTTTGTTGTTTTCATAACAGGGAACATATAAAACTGTGAAAAAAATACTGCTCTCCTAATTTGTTGCCGTTGTTCCTAGATACAGCTTTTAGCATCTCTTTGGCAAAAAAACTCAGAAAAACAGAGCAAGGGAGAACATATTATTGGATTCAATGACATACAGAGAAAAACACTGTCACTATTGTGAACGTTGTTTTAGCCCAGGAGAAGACATATTACTAATCATCAGTGTCAACTGAGATGTTTCTCCTCAAATAAAAAGACAGGCAAGTTGATTTAATTTGCAATACTTACCAAATGATGTCACATTTCCCTCTTGGTCAAACTTCATCTATGACAGAAATAAACAAAAAGCTGATCACCTCTAGCAATCACAATTACTCTAACATCAGTACTAATGTACTTTGTACAACACATTTCCTCCAAAAGCATATTCCCATGAAGTGCATTTGACTTATAATCAACGATAGTAACTACTGTTCAGGAACCACTGTAATGTTTAGGCTCTCTTACCACTACAAAAGCTGGAGGCACACTGGAAACGTCTGTCCCTCCGTGGCGGATAAAGGACACTGTTCATAGAAAATACAAAGTTAAACCTTATGTAAAGCAATATGTTTCCGATATACAAACAGCAAGGAAAATAACAAAAACAAGTATAAACAACGTGCATAATCAGCTACAATCGCTGGGGATTTTAGGTCAACCGGATTTACTAGAAATCTACACTCCTGTACTTACAGTGGTGCACAATTTCAAGGTGCCAGATGCATTTGGAAAAATGAACATTAACAATAGAGTTGCGAAGAGTTGCGAATAAAATTAGACTCTGTTGCTCCTTTGAAAAAGAAGAAAATAAAACAACATAGACTAGCTCCATGGCATAATGCCGAAACCCGCAAAATAAAGCAAAAGTCGAGACAGCTTGAAAGGATATGGCGTTCCACTAAACTTGAAGAATCTCGTTTAATTTGGCATATTACTCTCAATGAATATAAGAAAGCACTGCGTAAAGCGAGAGCAGCCTACTACTCTTCATTAATAGATGAGAATAAGAATAATGCAAGATTTCTTTTCAGCACTGTAGCCAGGCTGACAGAAAGCCACAGCTCGATTGAGCCTTCTATTCCCATAGCACTCAGTAGCAATGATTTTATGTGCTTTTTTAACGATAAAATTGTTACTCTTAGAAACAAAATTAATGACCTCTTGCCTTTGACCAGTATAGTGTTATCAACAGCTCCCGGAAACGTAAGTTCTAATATTACACTAGATAGTAAACTAGAATGCTTTTCAGCCATAAACCTTGAACAATTAAATTAAATGATTCTCTCTTCTAAACCATCAACGTGTATGTTAGACCCAATTCCAACTAAGCTGTTGAAGGAAGTTTTTCCATTAATTAGCACTTCTTTATTAAATATTATGAATATGTCTTTATTATCAGGCTATGTTCCACAATCATTCAAAGTAGCAGTGATAAAACCGCTTCTTAAAAAGCACAACCTCGATCCAGAAGTTTTAGCCAATTATAGACCTATTTCCAATCTTCCGTTCCTCTCAAAAATTCTTGAGAAAGCGGTCGCAAAACAGTTGTGTGATTACTTAAAAAACAATGATTTATTTGAAGATTTTCAGTCTGGCTTTAGAACACATCATAGCACAGAGACAGCTCTGGTTAAAGTCACAAATTACATTCTAATAGCCTCAGACAAGGGACTTGTCTCTATTCTTGTTTTGCTCGATCTCAGTGCTGCATTTGATACTACCAACCATGATATCTTATTGCAAAGACTAGAGCACTTAGTTGGCATACAGGGAACTGCTTTAGGCTGGTTTAGGTCCTATCTATCTGAACGCTCTCAGTTTGTACGTGTCAATGATTAATCTTCCACGCAAACCAAAGTTAGCCATGGAGTGCCACAGGGCTCAGTGCTCGGACCTATTTTGTTCACATTATATATGCTTCCGTTAGGCAATATTATAAGGAATCATTCTGTACATTTTCATTTGTTATGCGGATGATACTCAACTATATTTATCAATCAAGCCTGATGAAATTAATCATCTAAATAAAATTGAAGACTGCCTCAAGGACTTAAAAACGTGGATGACCTTAAACTTTTTGATGTTAAACACGACCAAAACTGAAGTTATTGTACTTGGCCCGAATAATCTACGAAACAAATTATCTAAAGATATAATAACTATGGATGGCATTCATTTGGCCTCCAGTGAGACTGTAAGGAATCTTGGTGTTATATTTGATCAGAATTTATCCTTTAACGCCCACATAAAATCAATTTCAAGGACCGCCTACTTCCATCTACGTAACATTGCAAAAATCAGGCATATCTTGCCTCAAAACGATGCAGAGAAACTAGTCCATGCATTTGTTACTTCAAGGCTGGATTATTGTAACTCTTTATTATCAGGGTGTACCAAGAAGTCAGTCAAGTCGCTTCAGCTGATTCAAAATGCTGCGGCTCGTGTACAGAGTTAGGAAAAGGGACCACATTACTCCTGTTCTGGCTGCCTTACACTGGCTCCCTATAGAACAAATTCTTCTTCTCGCCTACAAAGCCCTTAATGGGCAGGCGCCATCTTACCTTAAATAACTCATTATACCCTACTGTCCTACTAGGGCAGTGTTTCTCAAACTTTTTCATACCAAGGACCACCTAACCAATAAAAAAAACACTCGCGGACCACCTAACTCCACAAATATCCAAAAACACATCGTTTTTTACAAATTGCCTGAAAATGGTACAAACAAGTGGCAACATGTGTGATGAAGGTGTTTATATGGGCTATATCATGCAATCGAAAGTTAAACTTAAGCTCGTTCCATTGCGGAGATATTCCCGCGAGAGTGCGAAAAACTTAAATAAATGTATTTCTTTCAAATGTGAAATGTTACCAATATACTCACGGACCACTCGGGGGCGCTCACGGACCACCAGTGGTCCGCGGACCACACTTTGAGAAGCACTGTAGCATTGCGTTCCAAGAATGCAGGGTTGTTGGTTGTTCCTAGAGTCTCTAAAAGTACAATGGGAGCCAGAGCCTTTTCTTATCAAGCTCCATATTTGTGGAATCAGCTTCCAGTTTGTGTTCGGGCGGCAGACACCCTATCCGTTTTTAAGAGTGCGCTTAAGACCTTCCTTTTTGATAAAGCTTATAGTTAGCGCTGATTAGATTCAGCCCCTAGTTTTGCTGATATAGGCTTAGACTGTCGGGGGACACCTTACTTCTTCCTTCTCTCTGTCTATACCTGTGTACTCTCATGTTCCAATTAACCCAGCTTCCCCAAATGTCTTTCTTTTTGGTGTCTATATACGCTGGGATCCAGAGTCATGGATGATCCTGCGGTCCTGTGTCCTGCATCGCGAGCCCTGGATCTTGAGTCGTGGCTGTGGTCCTGGATCATAGGTCCTGGATGGATATCCTCGTGGATTCATCTTCCTATTATACACACATGCATTTCCAAACATTTGGACTACCTATGTTGCAAATGTATTATCTTTTAAATTTACACACGGCATCTATTGCACGTCTGTCCGTCCTGGGAGAGGGATCCCTCCTCTGTTGCTCTCCCTGAGGTTTCTCCCATTTTTCCCTTTAAACTGTGGGTTTTCTCCGGAAGTTTTTCCTTGTACGATGTGAGGGTCAAAGGACAGAGGGTGTCGTATTGTCATACTGATATTTTGTACAAACTGTGAAGTCCACTGAGACAAATGTAACATTTGTGATATTGGGCTATATAAATAAACATTGATTGATTGATTGATTGAGTTGCTTCAAAATATTGGAAATGAATTTGATGTTAAAAAAACAATCCTTCAGGGAAGTAAACCCAACATTCTGTCTAGTCACTTTGCATTTTGATAAAAATAAGTAAAGCTTTGATTCAGTTTTATTAAATGTGAATCACTGTCCTTAGTAACATTACAGTAATACCATTATTGTACCTGTGACAAACTAATATAGGAGAATGATATATAGCCTATACATTTATCAGAGAGGTTAAAGTGTGGACATATATTGAAATAAGGGCTTTATAATCTGAAACAATTTAGTAATTGTGATTTTTTTTGACTGAAATTGGAATTTCAATATGACTACCATTGTGAAAATAATGATTTTTCATTATTATTTTATACATAATACATAATAAAACAACGGGGTTTTTTCCAAGTTGTACTAGAAAAATATTTGTTCTTAATTGTGTTGAATATCATTTATATGTCTGAACGAAGGAAAACAAATTGCATTTTGACGTATGTTGCATTATATCACCTCCTGTCTTTTGGATATTGTACTAATCGATATGGCATTAAAATACAATGATACATTGTGATTAATTGTTATACCCTTATTGAAAAACATGTAGTACTGGAATCAGGATAATTTGGTGTTAATCAACAAATAAAAGACTGAATTGTGAACAATATAATGATGTGGAAACAGACCAAATCAACTCGTCAACATGCTCACTATCTGTCACTCTTACCAGGCCATGCAGCACCTCCTTCTTGTAGCAGCTTCTCTTTCCTGACCGCAGCAGACTGAGATCTTCTGGGTTGACATGTTGACACCCACTGTGTTTGACTGCAGATGGGATTTGGACCAACACCACTGTAAATCCTGATGAAAAGTCCCAGTTTTGTATTTCCAAGAGGCACAGTGTACTTCAGTGGGTAGAGTAATGCACGAGCACTCCAAAGGACAAGGGTTCGAGTCCCACCGATTCTTGAAGACAACAAACTAACAGAGCTCAAATGGCGATTTGGATAAAAGTTCCTTCCAAATGGCAGATACATCCTAGTGCAGTTCATACAGCCAGCCAGAAGCAGCCGTAGTTTCATCCACACACAGACACTACAGCAGCAAGGAAATATTAAGACATACAACCACAGTGAAGGGTGGTGGAGAAAATGAAGGCAAGCTTTAGCCTACATAAGCAAAGGAACAAGGTAACACAGTTTTGGCGTCAAAAGCTGAAAGTGTGTTCCTAGGTCATATTGATAGTGGTTCTTCAAGTTGAATGTCAGTTTTTTAGACAAGACAGACCATATCCGCATGTAGAAAAATGGCAGTAAGTAATATGCTATAGTTTAATTATGCGCAAATATTAGCTAACGTAGGCAACTTTAATGTCATACTTTCCTCACATTGTTTGTAAGAGTGCTGGAGTAAGTATGTAAGTTGTGCTAGTTATCTCAGCTAACGTCACTAGTATTAGTTTAATGTGTTCTTAGATAATTATATATTTAATTCGTGACAGTAGCCACAATTACATACATGTAACACATGTCAGTTACCTGCCGCTAACTACATACTTTCCTCAACCAACACACTGTGATTGTAATCCAGTTAGCAAACTAGCAAACAACAAGAGGACATGCAAGAGCACTGTAGGAGACCACAATGCACCGCGGTGACAGGCACCGGCTGCCGAAGATCGTCTCTGGTGAAGACAATCACTGATGCTGAAAAAGGTTAACCAACAAAATCCAATATTTTGAGCTGAAGCGGTCAGAAAAAATGCATTAAATAATAAATAGTAAAAATTAGAGATAAGTGAAACGCAATAAATATGAAGTCATCATTATTATAATTACGTAAATGATTCCCTATTAATGAATTATGAGATTATGAGAGAGTAAATAACAGTTATTTCAAAGAAAAGAAGAGTATGAAAATCATAATAAAAAAAAAAACCTAATCGAAATAATGACTTTAATTAAAAAGTGTATTGGAATTTTTAGATATCTTTTTATTATTTCAAACCATTTATTTGTTTTAGATAGCCTCGTACACTTTTGTCCTGTCGGCTGGCGGAAATGGGCTTCCAAAGACAGACATGCCCCGTGCCAAAAAGACGATAATTATTTGCGTGCTGATCTAGCATTATTTCAGGTTTTGGTGGCTCCCGGAACAAACCATGCTGTGGATTTATTGCTAAGGCTTCGCGAGATTTGCACTCTGACTTATTAAACACGGTGCAGTCAGCATCAGCATCTCTGATAACCGGAAGGATGCTGTGGCGGGGAGGAAGCGTGGGGATTTCATTGTATTTACGCTATATCCGATTATAAACAGCTCCGTGCTCAAACCAGGTCCCATATATATTTATTTTATTTTATAATTTCGTTGTTTAGGATCTGTATTAGCTGCTGCCATGTTTCCATCGTGTCAGTCCAAGGCTCCCGCCGGGGACAGCGGCGACTCCTCCACCAAGAGGAGCTCCATCGCTAAGATGCTGCTCGGGGTCTTCGTGGTGTACATGCTGCACACCGCCTGGCTGCTGTACGGCTTCCTCAACACCAAGCCCTGCGATAGAAGCAAAGGAGAGCTCTGCATCTCCTCCTACCTGACAGCAAGACCCAGGCTTCAGGTGAGCACAGGCCTCTGCCTCTTATCCACTACTCCTCATTATCAGGGATACCAGATTACTGAGAGATCCAGAAAAAGACCCTCCTGCATGCAGGGCCATGGGTTCAGAATAACTAAACTCACTGCCCCTGCTCCTTCGTTAATGATATTAGCCAGTGCTGCTAAGAATAAACCCTCTTTTTAATAATGATACAAAAACGACTTTTGGTTATGGCTTTTAGTTTTTTTCAGATAAAAAGTGTATTGACTGTGTCATGGCTCATAGCTTGTAAGTGTCTCCTCTTTCATAACCCAGAACAATTTGCTCAACATCTATTTTGCACGAGTATAATGTATATTCAATCCCATGCCATTATGTGATATATTCCTGTAACCTAGTGAGACTGTATATTGAGTATACTACATTTATTCAATATTTTGTTAGATTGTGTATTATTTAGATATAGGATATATGTATTTTCTGTTGTGAATTTGTATACTTGCTGCTAGTGTCAATTTAGCATTTACATTTTCAATCTTTAAATGTTATTCTTATAATTTATACTTGCCGCAAATGTTAATTTTTATTTTATTATATTTGTATCTTATTGTATCTTTTACATTTTGTAATCTTGTTTAATGGTTGGCACTGCTGCTTGAACCAAATCATTTCCAAAGTTTGGATAAATAAAGTAAATATCTAGTTATCTTAAATAAAAAGGAATGATGTCAGGCGGAATCAATACATACTTTAAATACTGATTTACATGGGGGGGGATTACAACATAAAGTCGTTTTTTTTTGTTCTCACTTTTCCATTTCTGCATGTATTTTTGGACTCAAAGGTTTTTTGAAATAGAAAACACTGCTTTGAATCTTCTCTTCTTCTGTTTTTCCAGCTGAGTGTCTTCACCTGCCTCGTGCCAGACAACAGCCAACTCAACCTGGCTGTAAGAATAGACCAATTTGACCCACACTCTTCATTTGAGAGGTGGGTTTGACATGTTATACATCTGTTAATCATGCAAATGTCAATTAGGAGACTTTCTGCTCATTGCCACTAAAAGATAAACACTGTAGTAACAATGCTGCTTTCATTTACTATCTCACTTATATCCTCTCTCTCTCTCGCTGTCCCTTCTCTCTCACTCCTTAGGGAAGTGAATGTCTCCCTGCCAGAGCAAACTCGGGATAATGGCACTCTGTTTGCAGTCGTGTATATTCACAAAGCTGGTGTTTCACCTCTGGAGGACGGCAGAGAAGTGCACTATGCAGCTCAGCTCACCACCTACATCGCCCCCCCCCCATACAGAGGGACAAAGAGACACGCACAAGGTAAAATGTGACTCAATATCTGTCCTATCATATTTCAGCCACTTGTCACCTTTACAGCAGATATAAGTGATTTGTATGGCTCCATCAGAGGGCGAGTCCCAGGTCAGAAAATCCCGTATCCCACTGGAGACCTCACCTGTCAGTCACTATGATGTCAGAGGACTTCACCTTCAACAAGGCGGGGCTTCCCAGTGATGTGCGGCGCTACATGAGAGTGTAAGTCACATGAGGCTTTGGAGGTCAAATCTACTGTAGCTGACTACTGCTTGTTCTGTGTGACGAAAGCTTTCAGCCAGTGCTCTTCTTAAAGCATACATTTTATCTGTAAAATCGTTTTTTACACAATTACAAAATAAGTTAATCCCCTAAAGGACATCAATGAATAAACTAACATAGTTGTTTAGAAAAAGAAGCAAACATTAGAAACAAAGAAAGGTGACAATTGTGTTCATGTACCTTAGTCTTACCATTGCTATATTGTTTTTCTCAACATCCCACTTCTAAGTCAACTAAAAGGGCAATCAAAAGGCCCAGGCCTCCAATAATACCATTATCATTAATACAAAATAATGTGGGTTACCGATAAGCGATTTGCTCCAAAATGTAAAGTTTCTTGCACTTTCTCACAAAGTTTAAGGAAAATCAGGCCAGTGTTTTTCCTGTTATTCTGCTGACAAACATACACACAAATAAACAAGGTGACTGTTCATCATTTGTAAAGCAAACACAATGACTGTTGCTTAATAAACCATTTAAATGCATGTGGGTTATGTTTGATTATAATCTTCTTGCAACTCCACCCTGATGTAAATAATGAATCTGCCCCAGGCCAATGTTTGTGTGTGTGTGTGTGTGTGTGTGTGTGTGTGTGTGTGTGTGTGTGTGTGTGTGTGTGTGTGTGTGTGTGTGTGTGTGTGTGTGTGTGTGTGTGTGTGTGTGTGTGTGTGTGTGTATGTGTGTGTGTGTGTGTAGATTAAACCGTCTCCCTGTTTGTCCCTGCAGCTCTCAGGAAGGCCGACAGATGATCTACCTCCCTCTGCTGCTGGTGAACGAGATCAGCTTCAGAGTCAGAGACCTCGTGGTAGGACAACTTTACCCATAAAGTTAAAAGCATAGTTCATAAAACACAGTTTGGGTTTGATTTGAATGATCTAACATCTACCTTTTCACTCATCAACAGGAGATCAGCAGCAGCACTATCCGGCTGCCTCTGACTGTGTCCTACGAGGGCATCTCTTTGAGGGGGTTCAGGTTCTGGGTGCATCTGCAGGACATCGTTTATTCTCTGCGACAGTTTGGTGAGCTGATAAGATGCGATAATAACACAATACATATTTCAGCATGTGGCTATTCACATCACATAACCAGTGGATTGAAATGTATGTTGTTATTTCTCCAGGCTTCACAGAGGAGAACGTGGATGAGATTAAAGAGACTTTGGTGGGCTCCAACCTCTACCTGTTAGTGTTGACTGCACTCATCACAGCTCTGCAAGTAAGATCATGCAACACCATGAGGAAAACCATGCCATACATATTAGATCCCCCTGATTTTCAATACATTCAATTTCAATATGTAAGTTTCATGAGAGCACGTTTATTGCAAATGAAGCATTGTAAAGTTAAAGTAGGTTTCTATCTACAGCTCATATGTGAGTTCTTGGCTCTTAAAAATGACTTCTGCTCATGGAGAAAAAAGAAGACCATGGCGGGAATGTCCAGGAAATCAGGCAAGAGATGTTTTTAATTATTAAACATTTGTGACTTAAAAATAGTCTTTAAAGGGTTTTTTTGCACTGACAATTGTTTTCAGTCAAGGTAGTAGAGCTTGTGGCAAATATAAACAACATTAAATCATAGTTGTAATGTATATGACGGAACGAACAGTAAACCAAAGCCTGGAAAATATTAAAGTGTTTCTGTGTTTCTCCCCTTTCTGTTTGTAGTTCTGTGGCGTAGTCTGAGCACTTTGCTGATTTTCCTCCATCTGCTAGAGGAGACAAGTCTGCTGGTGCTGCTGCCTGTTGGACTGGGAGCATTTTTGGAGGTATTTAGAATAACAGGAAAATCCAAATAACAGAAAAGGTAAAAGAAACATTATAGCAGACAGTTTTAACCAACGAACATTTCCTCCTGCCAGGTATGGAAGTTGTTTACAGTATATAAGGTCCAGTTTCAATGGAGATGCTCCAAGCTCCATGTGAGTATGGTGCCATTCAACATCCGTTCACTGTAGATTTAATGTCTAAAGTGATATCATTTGTTTCAATGTATTTTAATAATAAACTTTTACTTCCAGCCCTGATGCAGACTGTCTTTAACTTTCTTTCTAACGTAAGTCTGCCTCCTCTCTCACTGTGAAGGTCATTAAGCTGGACGAAGAAGAGAGAAAGACAGTGGAGTATGACAAGCAGGTGTGTTTATCTATCTTTTTCTAATATGTTAGAGTTCTGATTTAATATGCTCTGCTTCAGGATTTAATTTGAATATGTGCTTTTCTCTCCAGGCGTCAAGATACTTGTCCTACTTGGTCTATCCTCTGTGCATCAGCGGAGCTATTTTCTCCCTGGCCTACTTACGCCAAAAGAGGTAAGAGCTCTGCTACGTAGCTTAAAGGCATACTATGCAGGATTTGTCGGCTGCTGATGTAAACACACCATTCATAGTTGGCCCTCCCCAGCTCAATGAACAAGAGAGAGTGTGTGCAACGGGGTTCGAGCGAGCTAGGAAAGTGAATTAAGAGATGGAGCAACATTAGCGAGAATAAAGCAGGGAATTGGAAAAGATGTAATGTTATTCCTAATAGGCGGTTACGCTGTACAGCTCAAATAAACATGGCTATACATCTCAGAAACAACCTGAACACAGCAAAACAAGAACAACAAAAGAAAATGCCGTATTAGTCCATACATCTTTTTAGGGAAAACCTGCATAGTATACTTTCAAATGATGCTACGAAATGTCACACACTCATCTGTTGAGTGTACTTGTAACATTTCAATACAAACTCTCTCCTGGTTACATCTTGGTTCCTCTCCACCTACTGTACTGAAGTGTTTTAAGCAGTCAGATTCAAATCAGACCTGAATTTTTCTTGAAATAAAGTAAGATGTTTTTTGGTTTTATGTATGAATATGATCTAATATTACTTGTTATTACGTACATACACGTAGCAGCTATTTCTATTAACATTAAATTGCATTATGTTGACAGTTACTATTCCTGGCTGGTCAACAGCCTGGTGACTGGTGAGTTGACTTCAATTATTCATCACAGAGAAATAAGCTTATCTGTTTGTTTGTTTCCACAACATACATTATTGATTATTTGTCAGTTTTTCTTATTCAATTAAGATGATGCCTTCACTTAAACCACTATTGTACTGCATTGACCTCCTCTTCTCCTCTCAGGAGTGTATGCCTTTGGCTTCCTGTCCATGGCCCCACAGCTGTTCATTAACCACAAGGTCTGTCCTGTATACAAGTGTATTTACTACCAAATGTTCTGATTGTAGTGAAATGAAATAACTAGGGCCGGGACTTTAACGCGTTAATTAAGATTAATTAATTACACAAAAATTAACGCGTTAAAAAAATTAACGCATTTTAATCGCACTTATTTTTGCACCGCGGAACGTTTCTCACTGGATGAGTTTCAGGCGTACCGATTATACTGGAGCACCAACTAACGTTCATGACTTCAGACAACAACAAACCACAGTGAACAACAGTGGGAAAAGTTGTTTTAAAAAACGGACGGATGGAAGCGTCGATAAGAGCACGGTTGTGTGCAAATTATGCAAAAAGGAATTCGCATATCACCGCAGCACATCAAGCCTCAAGTATCACCTCAATGCAAAACATATAGCAGCTAGCGTGGACGTTAGCCTCTTTTATCGCGTTCACACCAAAAAGAGCCGGTACTCAAATTAGTTCATGAGAACCTTTTTACCCCCACGAAAGTCCCTGCTAGAGAGCAGAGAGCTGCTAGAGAGCAGGGACTTTCGTACGGCTCTCTTGTGAGAAAAGAGCTATATTTCTGATTGGCTGGGCGGATTGCAAACCACGCCCCGTAAAACTCCCAAAAAGTTTTGTGAATTTTATTATCCTCGCATTAGCATGATTAGCATTAGCATTAGCCCAGCGCAGAAACGCAGAGAGACTAATTTATGGCAACACAAAATAAAACATGGGAGCGGTGGAGATGAGGAGGTGTCGGCGTTCTGGCGATTTACTCGGAAGGCTTCAGTAGAAGCTGCTGGGACTCCCAGCAGCTTCTACTGAAGCCAGTCCCCAACTCCGGGGACTTCCGGCCGGGGACTTTGGGCGGCAGTATACGCCGTGAAGTGGTTTGCGGCCTGCCAGTAAACCCAAAGCAGAAGAAGAAGAAGTGACGTCAGCGGCTTCATTTGCCTAATCCTCCCCCAGGTTCAAAGAGTTCTCATGAACTAAATTCTCATGAACCTTTGTGGGAAAAGTACTGCGGTGTGAATGCGCCTAATGGTATACTAAAATCCATGTGAAAAAAATTGCTTCTCACTGTTCTCAGGTCAAATATTTATATGTGATTAAAAATGCGATTAATTTCGATTAATTAATTACAAAGCCTCTAATTAATTAGATTAATTTTTTTAATCGAGTCCCGGCCCTAGAAATAACCTGCTTGAACTTTCCTTGGCTGTAGAAAGTACATTTACTCAAATACTCAATGTTTAGTTTACTTACTCGTAATTTAACTGAGTATTTCCTGCTACTATATACTTCTACTTAAATGCAACTCTTATATCAATCCACTTCCTTTATTTAATACATTGAGCTACTAGCAGCATTACAGATTCAGAAAATAAATACAAAATGTAATTAAATACATTATGATTCATTATTATGGATGTATGAATATAAGACTTTATTGATCATTTGGAGGAATTCCCAAGGTCCCGAGCAGGACATAGTGATAAAATAGCCCCTATGTGATTTACATTAATACTTCAGAAAATATTCAGTCAAATAAAATACATTATTCAGAAATGGACCATTCTGCATAACGATTACTTTTACTTAAGCAGATGTTTGAAAGTAGGCCTATACGCTGTGGTATAGGTACTTTTACTATTTAAAGATCCCAATACCTTGCCCCCTCTGCTGTCTCTCTCTGTTCCTCCCTCTCTCTCTGGATCAGTTGAAGTCTGTGAGCCACCTGCAGGGGACAGTGTTGATGTACAGAGTGAGTGTGACTGTCTCTCTGGTTCTTTCACAAATGGCAACAGTAACATAATTTGTGCAGATTATCTTTGTCTTTTCATTCTCATTTTTTTTCTTGAAACTTTCTAGTAAATGCACTTTAAATATCACTTATCACTCAGCAGAAAACGACTTATATTCTTTCCAACAAATTGCTAGTGGACAATTTCTTTTTTCTCTCCCTCCTTAACCCTCCTCTCTGTCTACACCAGGGAGTGAACACGCTGATCTCAGACCTGTGCTCCTGTGCCACCTTTTTCTCCTCTTCTGGATCCTTCTCTTCCTCTCATCAACTTTCCTGCTTCAGAGATGAGCTCTTGTTCTTCCTCTACCTCTACCAGCGAAGGTAGGACACACCACACAAAATACTACAACACACATACACTGAACATGTTAAAGCTGTGGGACTCTAGTGTATCTCAAACACTACAAAACACAGCATGAATGTGGACACAATGAATGGGACTAGTAGAGTTGAATGTATGTCTATTTACACGTAAAATATACAGTTTACAATCTTCTTGCTGCTGATGATAGAAGTGTGTTCTATTCACCATGCACCTAAATGCTTTTGTGAGGACTATTGTAACATAACCTTGCTATCATCTCATGTCTCCAACAGGCGTTTCGCACTGAGGGCACGGAGGCGAGAGTCTGGGACTCACAGCAAGAAAGTAAAGACTCAATGAAAAAGAACATTCCTCTCCTACCCTTTGTTCCGAAATGAATGCACAAACACACACAAACTGATCTTCCAAACAAATATGAAGATGTAAAATGGAGACTCAGGCAGGAGACCTGGCCGTGTGCACCATAGCAGATGAAACTGATCCAAGATGAGCCGTTTGCCGACCAACTCTTCACTTCTGTACACTTATGGTGCTGCAAAAAGGAATTTCCCCCTTTACTGCTACAGTGATTCAACACATCTATCTACAGACTGATGCACGCTTTGCAAGAAGAATATCAAAGGCATCATATCACCAGTTAGAATTTGTGTTTGCACATTGTTTTGTACACATGGGGCGGGGGTCAAGAAGGTGTGGTACATTGTGAAGGATGTAGCCTTCAGACTCCACATAATCGTTTGCTTGCTTGACTGCATTTCAACTTTAGGACTTGACCCAACATGACTTTCATAAAGCTGTCTGAAAAGTTTGAACCATGATTCTTTAAATTCACTTTTAAACATGCCGTTGTTACCTAATAGAAGCTTGGAAAGCCTCTTAACAAAGGCATAGAGTGCTGTATGAAGCCTTGTATAAACTGAAACAACCCAAAACAGCCCTTCTTTTTAGGGTTGCACCATTACCACCATGATTTAAATAATTCTGCACGTTTCACCCATCTCAGCAAAACATATCTGGTTTCTTTGGAAACTTATTTGGAATTTAAAAGAGAGTGTCCTGTAGTTTGAACATTGCATGAATATGCAGCAGAAGATCGTAATGATGAACATGAGGGTCCTTCAACAATGACCACTAATGAGAAAATCAGCAACATAATGCAGTTTTCCTTCTTCATCCAGTGTAGGGTACATGCTAGCTGTTAGATTTAATATTAGTCTTGTATGTTTTATTTTAGTAAAGCTCCCCTTCATGTATTACATATTTAGTTAGTAGAACTGTCAGTGTACTGTACAAGTATTTTATAAAGCCTTGCAATGCTAACATATAAAAAGAGACTACACTTTTATCTACAAGTACTCTGATGGCATGTGTCTAAGAAATCCCTGCAATGCATTTTGACTCACAACATACAATATAGCTGCTTAATCAAAGTTTGTAGTTTCACTCAGCACACAAACGCATCACATAGTATTGAACAACATGTTCATACATGCCACATTTTAAATGAACCATTTTATCAAGCTGTTTGTTGTGTTTGTATTATGCTGATCTAATTACTGCTTCTTTGCTTACTGAACTGCTTGAGCTGAAGAATCTTTTACAAACCTTGATTGAAGTTATTTTATTTATTATTGTTTCGGCAATGCAACCTGCTTGTTAATTGTTTATCATGTTTTTTTACAAATTCAATAAAAATGAAACTTGCTTTAAGGTTCATGCAAATAGAAATAAAAATGGTGGGTGGATATGCATGTGTGCTTGCCGGTGTGTCTATCAATGTGTGCAATCAGGAGACAAATCAAGACAGACAGCAGACTGGTCACTATGGAAACGGCTTGTCTGGTTACTGTTATGGAAAATTCCTATACGCAGTGTTTGTTTGTTTGTTGTCTTATGACGTGAGGAAATAGTTTATATTTTCACAATGTCTCGTTAATTTTCAGGTTTGGTGTCAGCACAAAAAACGTTGCTAGATGTGTACTTTGTGTGTGCGCTGGGTGTGTGCGCTGGGTGTGTATGCTGGGTGTGTGCGCTGGGTGTGTATGCTGGGTGTGTATGTGCATTCCTCTGTTAACACTGAACATATGCGACATGACAGATATGAGGATGACATGAGTGCCATGAGTCCTGCAAATGTTTTCAAGTAATACATTCTTTTTTCAATTCACATATATCTAGTGAAAACATTTGATGTATTTATTTATTTGACAGGGAGGGATTATATGATGTGTTTTTTTTAAGTATTTAGGATCACAGTCAATGTTCAGGGGTGGGTGGGGTTATTGGTTAGTGTTCTTATCTTTTCAAAGTTGCAAGATGTAGTTCATTTAAGATGGAAATAGTTGTGCTATAATGCTTTTAAGAGCCAGTAAGGTCAAATAATTTCAGGCATGTGGCCTTCATCAAAATGTTGTCAATAAAAGAGCACCTTCATAGACCAGCATATTTACAACCTTAGATTTTAGTTTTGTCTCAGGCTGCAAGATCGTTTCAGAAATGTTGTCAGCGGTTTCATGTTAATTAAAAAACTGCTATAATATGTTTTTTTTTGCCACTAAAGAGCATCGAAAACAAGCTGTAAGCACGAAATATACATTTGGAATTGGTATCAGGGCAACAACTCACAAATATATTCATTATTGAATATTCTTGGTCTATGAAATTGGTGAATTACAGCAGAGGTGTAACGTAACTAAGTACATTTACTTAAGTACAGTACTTAAGAACAATTTTGAGCTACTTATACTTTACTTGAGTATTTAAATGTTTTGCTACTTTGTACTTCCACCCTGCAGATTTTGATTAATTATCCATCCATCCATCTTCTTCCGCTTATCCGTGGTCGGGTCGCGGGGGTAGCAGTTCCAGCAGAGAGCCCCAAACTTTCTTTTCCCTGGCGACATCAACCAGCTCTGACTGGGGGATCCCAAGGCGCTCCCAGGCCAGCGAAGAGATATAATCCCTCCACCTGGTCCTAGGTCTACCCCTTGGTCTCTTCCCAGCTGGACGTGCCTGGAACACCTCCCTAGGGAGGCGCCCAGGTGGCATCCTCACTAGGTGCCCGAACCACCTCAACTGGCTCCTTTCGACGCGAAGGAGGAGCGGCTCAACTCCGAGTCCCTCCCTGATGACCGAACTTCTCACCTTATCCCTAAGGGAGACACCAGCCACCCTGCGGAGAAAACCCATCTCGGCCGCTTGTATCCGCGATCTCGTTCTTTCGGTCAATTATGTGAAATATAATCAACACTTTAATCAGACTTTAGTTATACCTTGAGTAAATTCACAAGCTACCCTGCAGTATACAAAGGAATGCTGCACCTTCACCAGCTTTGTTAAACACTGTAATGCATCAATAATTCTAATAAAAACACATCATATATTATTCTGAAATGGACCAATCTGCATAATAAGTACTTTTACTCATTGATAATTCTGTTGTTACTTCACTATGAGCAACAACTTTCACTTTGTTATGCATATCTGTACAAGTTTTGATGTCTTAATGTCTAAACCTTACTCCTGTTTTTCTTATTTCTGTACTTTCTCGTACTACATGTATTTATTCAGGCTATTATTAGATATAAAAGGGAGAACCAGCCTTATAAAGACAAATAAAGTCCACACGCGAAGAAGCCCTGCAGCACAAGTTGAGCCGAACATACTGAAAGTCATAATGTAATACTTGTTTCAGCACCACAAGAAAACACTTGGTTTAAAAGGTGAAGTATCTGTGAAACCACAGCGAGATCAAGGAATGTCCTACACACACACTCACACACATGACATTTGTGCGACGCTTCCAGTAACACTATGGTAGTTGAAGATGTGGGAAGAACTGCGGTGATGTGGTGCTTCTGTAAAACAAACAATAGATACCACAAACACACACAGACACACCCACAGCATGAGACACCAGGTTTGACAGCAGAGGTTCAGGTGGTGAAACACACTCACCGCTGACATGAAGATGCTGCTCAGCTTTGTGCTCCTCTCCGTCCTCGTCCCTTCAGGTAAGCTAAGATCAGACTGTTTGGACGGTAGGTTGAAGGGTTAGGGGCTTGTCTCACCAACACACTAATTTGTGGCTACACATTTTTGGTTACACACCCGGCTTAGCTCAGAGGATGTGACATTATAAATAGTTCTTGTAGATGATCACCAGAGGGCTTTAGCCTAAGGTTTGCAAAAAACTAAAATCATCACTCTGAATAAGTCCTTTTCAGTTGCAAACGAAAATATAGAATGCTTTAAGATGAAAAATGTGAATTATATAGGAGTGAAGTCAAACAGACTTGGTTAAAGGTTATCATCATTGTTAATATTTTTTTTAAAAATCTTCAAATATGAATGTACATTAAGATATACACTACCTGAATGCACTACCGTTTTTATGGTTTTGTTCATCATGTCTCTATTGTGTAGCATAGATTGACTGTATGCTACTGCTGTATCTCGTTGTACAACCTGTTTTTAAAAAATGACAATAAATGATCCTTAAATATGTCCAAACTATTTAAAGGAACATAAGCTGAGAGGGGATTTAATATCTTGTAATATGTAATATTGCTAAAGATGATTGGTGCCCTTTTAACACTGTGATAAAGTACTGATCTTATTTAGTTATTAAATTATTAATAATTAACTTGTGTAAGTGGTTAAGTACGTTTTCTAAGACACAGAGTCTTTAGCGCCTTTGGTCTCTTGCTATGAGGTAAGAAAGCAGAACAACAACCTGAATGGGAGGAACAGTATGTTGCCTTGTTTTCAATAATCTTTATAATTATAGAAGCAAGCCAAACAAGTTTTAACAATGCTGTCATTGGGAGTTGCCGTCTTTCTACACTGAACAAAAATATAAACACACTTTTGTTTTTGCTCCCATTTTTCATGAGATGAACTCAAAGATCTAAAACATTTTCTATATACACAAAATAACCATTTCTCTCAAATATTGTTCACAAATCTGAAAAAATCTGTGATAGTGAGCACTTCTCCTTTGCCGAGATAATCCATCCCACCTCACAGGTGTGGCATATCAAGATGCTGATTAGACAGCATGATTATTGCACAGGTGTGTCTTAGGCTGGCCACAATAAAAGGACACTCTGAAATGTGCATTTTTGCTTTATTGGGGGGGTCCGAAAACCAGTCAGTATCTGGTGTGAGTGGTAGAGTTAGGGTTAGGGTTAGGGTAATGTTGTGAATCGAGTGGCCCATGGTGGTGGTGGGGTTATGGTATGGGCAGGCGTATGTTATGGACGACGAACACAGGCCACTCGATGTTGTGAATTAACAACATGCACGCATGTTCAAGGAGTGTTGTCATAGTTGGACAGCTCAGATCTGTTGTATGAAGCGATGCCGGTAGCGGAGGTAAGGCACACACACCAAATGTTCAGGAAATGGTTAATACAGCGAAAATCAAAGCTGACGATCTCTTGGTTTGATATGTTTTCTCCCCCAGACAACATGGACATAAGAACATTTTTTTTCAAAGAAGAGGAAAGTAAGTAATCAGCTGGTAGCAGTTAATCAGTTAACAGTGATGGCGGCGGCGGCATCTCACTTCTGGAGAGGAGTTTCGTCTTTATGTCATGATAGAGAGATACAAATACTGAATAGTTTAGATGAGAAAAGGCATCGAAATGCCAGGTTACTAGTATTTATCATGTAAACAGGGAACATGAATAACCCGATCTCTCTGTGCTCATGTAAACACCATGATGTCCATGTAGAGACGCAGTCAGTGTGTTTTACTGGAGCCTCAGTTCGATAAGAGATTATTTTCTTCTTTAACTTAGGTACTCTCTCTCAAAATGGTAATGTGCATTATGTTTTAATTATACTTCTTATCATTCAGAAGCTTTTTGTGTGTGTTTATGTTTTACTGAGTGCTTATAGGCAATTTCCATCCCAGTATTCAGTTAACTATTTATTTTCTGTGCACATTACATAGCTAATATTCTACCTACTGCTTGGGGCTTTGAGTCTTCAAAATGTCCAATGCCACATACTGGGACTTACTTTAGAGTCAGTTGTATTTACATTCAGTATGACTTGTTATGATTCAATGTGAAAGAGTATATTACTCAATAAATAATGATCACTTCACCACCTCTCTTGACATCTAGGCGCTTGAGAGTGAGTCAGAGGCAGCACATAGGGACAGTGGAGAGAGGTCCGTTGCTGAGATGAGTGATGAAAGGGAAATGACAGTTGAGAGTAAATTGTGATGTGGACTCTCATTCCAGAATTTTAAGGAAATCAGTGGGGATATTGAACAGGAAACATTTCAGTCTAGGGGCATCATATGATCAATATAGACAGAAGAGCAACATTTTTTTGAACATTTAAGTCGATACCATTCCTAGGTGAACTTAACATCTGTATGGAGTCAGATCAGTCTCAATATTAATAAATGCTCACAGAAGGATTCACAAATGTATTTTGCGATTTATATATAAATGACTCTACACAACAATATCTCTCAATGCACTCACACATATTTATCGTTGTATATAAATGTACAAAAAATGGGCATTTAAACTGCTTTTTATTAATTCAAAGACGGCTCTGAATTAATAATCAAATATGTTTCCTTTCTTTACAACTGGATAAAATTACAAAATGTACCCATCATTTTCCTCATGCTAGTATAGCCACATAAAAGTATCAAACCACCTGTTAAAACGCACCAGAATACAGGAAATCTATTTTTTTTTTCGTGGGGGGGATCCCCAAACCCTTCGTTAAAAATGTCCCCCCCACATCCAGGATGCTTCCTACGCCCATGGGCTATAAAGCATCATGATGACCTAGGCTACGATTGTCTGAATGAACATATAAATTAAGTTCAAGACCTAATTATACAGATCAGGATTTCCCCTGGACTCTAGTATAATTACATTTCAGGAATATGCTACTTTTACCAGTGATAAGCAACCATACAAACAGCAACTTGATATACATGTAAAAACGTGACACACACATTTTAAAACTGCTTGTATTGGCTTACTTCGGTTAGCATGATGACCTTATGCTTTTATATAACGTTTTTATTTATTTATCAAGAGACGTACTATATCATGTTGTGTACTGTAAATCTCATATTTCTGTCTATCTGTTGTCCTTATGTCTGCAGGGCTGTCACTCTCTTGCTATGTGTGCAATTCTGTGCCGACTAATGAAGATTGCAACGGCAGCAACAACACTCAGATGTGTTTGGCGCCATTGGACATATGCATGACTGTCGTCGACATTGCAGGTAACAATGAAAAACTAAATTACTCTGGTCATAATCCTGTCAATGAATGTAAAGAACCGCAGATTTTTGGGATCCAGCTATTACGTAAAATATGTTATGGGACCTACATCTAGAGTAGGGTTTGTTTTAATAATTACAGTAAGCTTTGGTCTATCATGGTATATTTTCAACTTTAGCCTGTGCAAAATGTGGGAAACTATAATGACTCACTCCAATAACCTGCTGTGTGTCTCAGGCACTAAGAAAGCCATATCAAAGTCGTGTGCCAGTAAGGCGACCTGCAACGGGGCGGCCGGGTCCGCCTCGGTCGACTCCAACGGGAACGGGAACACCGTGAACTGCTGCAACATCTTCAACTTATGTAACTTCAGCGGAGCAGAGTCCATGCACACACACACCACCCTGCTGCTGCTGCTGCTGACTGCAGCTGCTTTATTACTGCTGTCACACTGAGTCAGCGGGTCGTACGACCAATGCTGTCAGACGATATGGGAGTTACACTGCTGCTCTGTATAGAAAAGTATTTTTATAAATGTCTATGTCTCAATAGTGATTTTATGTAATGTATGCTCTTTAGTTGGAGTTACGCTTTAAACACACACATCTTCTTATTAAGACTGTCTTCACAAGTATAATATATTACATCCTGACCTTCCTATGAATACTGATTAATATATGTGAAAGCCTTCATAGATAATGCAATAGGCTATGGCTCTTATATATTTCCTTTGAAATCTGAGGAATTTCAGGCTGTACTATTCTTACAAAACTACAGCTCAAAAATGAATTCAGAGGGTCATAATCTCATAAACTATGCAGCAGTTTGTCTTGCCTATATGCAACCTTACATTTTATATGCAGAATTTTCTAGGAAGACCTCATTCTCCCTTTTGAAAACTTTACTGCAATTACGGGATTACCAAATTCTAATTTTTGGTAATAAAAGACTTCAAATAATTCCTATTCCTGATACAAAATTGCAACTTTGAAACCAGAGGAGGACATTTTCAGGTTTTACAATTAATTTAAATCTGTGTAAAACTTCTAGAATTGAAGGTTTGAAGGCAACCCAAATAACTTAAAGTAACCCATTGTAGAACTTACAAGTAAGTAAGAAAATGCATTTAAATGAGAAAAATAAAATGGTCTTCATCAAAGTGACTCTTCTCCAAATGGCCACATGTACATTAGATAACATCTATATATAGCGTATCTACTGGAGATATAAAGCTTAAAATGTAACGTTTTCAAATAAACCTCTTAATGGAAAATAATGTGGACAATCTGACTTCAATTTCGTCATTATTTTTTTTATTTCATTGTTTTTTCCTCCTCCTATTTGACAAGATGGCTGATTTAGCCCAGAAGACAAAATAAAAACCAGTGTTTACTAGTTCTGTACAATTCACCAGTGATTCACACCAGTATAGCTTACAAGATACCAACATGAGCAGATTTACGCAACGACAAGATCAAATAGATAGTTTTTTTAACCTTTTTTTCAACCACTATAACACCCAGATATTTGACAGTGTAATTGCTGCCTAAACCTGGAGATCAAATCTGGGTAAAATAGGGTTAAAAAAAAAAAGTACGATATTTTTTTGGTGCTGTGCAAATATGCTCTTCTTCATACCAGTATATCATGCTATACCAGTACAGCCACCAGTATATTTCATATAGAAGTATGTCATACTCCATGTGGGGTCACTATTAACAAAGACACGACGTGTGGGCTGCTGTTTTTTCAGTTCAGTGTTTTGTGTCTGCAAGACAAGTTCCAGTCATGTGGCTCCACTGTGTGTGTGTGTGTGTGTGTGTGTGTGTGTGTTTCCCTGGGGACTGTTTTCAGAGGAACATATTTTAAGAGTTACACCTGACAGTAACTTCGAAACTCAAAGCACATAAGTTCCAGTTGTGAGGTTTATTTGTGTCCCCAGTAAATTCACTTTGTGACACCAATGGGTGAGGGGACAGCATGACACCAGTCTTGTTTGATGAACTGAATGAAATTGGGATTGTCGATGAGGAGGAAGAAACGAGATGAGACACCCAGTGACTAGTCTGAGACATGATGTCCTTTTCTACCTCCAAGACAAATTGGAAGTATTAAGTCACTCAGAGTGAATCCTCAAAATCCACCTTCTTTTGTTTCCGTGTTAACTCTCATCAGAGTCAATGCTGGGATTGAATATCTGCTTGTTACAAACAGTTTTCAGTAAAAAGGAAGAAGATTGTGAACACGTAAAACATGGAGCCAGCTAATAAAAAGACTAAACTAAATTGAGTGCGAGGCGGGTGTTTCCTGACTGCGGTGTTTACACAGACAGAGTTGGATTCTTCACATTTTGGAGTCTTTAAAAACCGGCTCAGAGAGGAGCTGAGGAAGACGTCACAACAGAGAGGAACAGTGATAACAAAAAGTCAAAAGGAAGTGAGTGAAATAGAGAAAAAAGACGATAAAAGTGTGTTTTTTCTTCTTCAGGCAGCAGACCGCCACTAGAACTGTCCTCAATACCCATCTTTCCCTCCGTCTCCTCCTCTGCAATGTCTGAGTCTATAAATAAAACCTGGTGGGACGGAGGGAAGACGGGAGTGGATGGAGGAGAGAAACGGGAGGAGCGATGGAGGCTGCTTCTCCAAACCAAGCCTTCGCTGTCTTTACTGTGAATGTCCTTGTTGCATCCACCCAAAGCACCGGGAGCTGAACATGTGATTGAAGTGCCCGTTCAGAAGAACCAAAGGCGATGTGGAGGTATTTCAACAAAGGAAAAATGTCACATCCAGGGGTCACAACACACGATATCCACACATGTACTGATAATGGCTGACGGCTCATGCAGATATGGTGCAGATCAAACGCAGTCTGATCAGGGTCTGATGGCTTTGAGTGTTATCCGACGAAGACTAATTCACCCGGTGTCAACATTTCCAGATCCAAATAGATCCCATGATAGTGTTTCTGTTGGTGGTCTTTGAACCCCAGGAATCAGGCTCTTCTCAGTCTCATAATTCTAAAATCTTCTCCTTTTTGCTTTTCCTCCTCTCATCATTACATTACAGTCCAGAGAGTGCGAAGCTGCCAGGTCCCTGATTCAGGAAGTGATTTGCACTGTTCTTGTGTTACGAAAGTCACAGTGGTGGAGAGAAGACCTCGGCTTACACAGGATACAACATCTAATGATTCTTCATGGACAAAGATCAGAGCCGTTCTCCTTTGACATAAAGCAGTCAGCTCCGATAACTCTCACTTGACATAACTCTAATTCTCCATTGATAACAGTTACCAGAATGATGCTTTCTCTTTTAAATAATAGACCAAGTCCTGTTGGTCAGCTCAGCTGTCGTAGGGCTAGTGTGGGCGGGACTGGGACATCATTTTGAGCCTTGATTGGTCAATGACATCCAATAGGTTCTTGGCGTCAACTGCAAGAGCGTGAGCCGCAGTCAACATTTGCTTCTTATAGTCCTGCTGCAGACTGGGACAGAGCAGAAGAACACACACACACAAAGATTACTTATTCAGATACAACTAATGGGAGGCAAATATTAAAGCCACTGTTTATACAGTTCTCTAAAATGTGTCCTCTAAAAGCATAATGAGTTTTCTTTTTATTAAAGTGCCTCCATTCCAGATACTTATTTTGGAAGTTTCTGAAGCTTTTGCACCATTGCTTGAGTTTAAAGTTTGTGTCTTGTTAGTACATTGACATATAGAGGATAGTCTCTCCCCCCTGTTTCTGCCCCCATTTAATTTAGGCTGGTTGAAGGTTCAAAGGTTTTAATGTCATATTAATAATAATAATAATGTCAACCTCATCGACAATCCCAATTTCATTCATGAGGTTGTGTAATATAAAAACTTGGTTCACAGATATCTCAAACAATGCATTATAAATATGTACAAGACTTAAAACAAATATATATTTTTTAAAAACAATAAAAAAGGGCATCTCAGGAATGTGTGCTTCACCAGTGTGCAGACTAGGAGCAACTTCATGATGTCAACATTAAGCACTGCAATGAGGCATTACTAATACAATATTGTAACTAGTTAAGCTACCTGGTCATCACATATTGTTGGGCTAACTTCATCTTCCCAATCAGCTCTGCCAAGTCAGAGTTCAGGAGCTTCTGTGCCATCTCAATCTGTAGAAGAAAACCAGATCATTAAGTATCAATCTGGTTTAAATGATACTATTCCAATATAAATGATACCAAACTACTCAAGCGTTTTACAAAAATACACAAGAGTGTGTAATTACCTCTCTGTGTGTGCTGGCTGGAAGCTGTGGTAGAGTCTCATCCACTGTGGCCAACAGTGTCCTCAACGCCAGACCCACATCCTGAAACACACACACAGACCGTAGTACTTTAAAATGATACCTTCGAAACAGAACATTAGGAAGTGAATCAACTCACATGGTGTTAAAAAATATATACCTTTTTACTGTATATATATGAAGAAATATAAAATAAATATGATTAAGTGATTAAGTAAACACCAGGTTAAGATGAGAATTTAAGTAATATTTCCTACATATATAGAGATAACCAGGGTGGAGAAATACATTAAGTATAAGCAAAGATACGACAACTGAAAGCAACCTCTTGTGAGGCTAAAAGGACCGATCTGCTGTTTGGTTACCGGGTGAGTCAAAAATGATTAATAAGCACCAATATGTTAATACTTTCAAATCTTTAAGGCAGAGGTCTGCGGCTCAAGAGGGTGAAACCGTAAATTCAGCGACCCTCTGACAAATAGTGATGAATATGAAAATGAGAGCTTGAGGGCTTCGACTACCTTAACCATAGGAACGTATTCCTCTGGAGGAGCTGGCTGGATCTTGCTCGACATCTCGATCACAGCTTTGACCAATCCCGTCACGTTCTCGTACACTTTGTCGTTGGAGCGGTCCAGGTTGGCAGTGGGGGGCGGGCTGATCTCTTGAGGCTGCAGCTGAACCAGGAGAGCACAAAGGAAGCAATGAGTCACAGGCGGAGTGTTTCAAAAAAACACCCACAGGTCTGTGTGAGGGCATCGACACACAGATAACAAGTTGAGACAATGATGATGAGAAATATGAGTCTGTACAAATGTAAAAATCCTGAATGATTTTCGAGATGACACATGAATCATGACTTTGGTTAACTTTGCTGCACATACGGTGGTAGAAATTGAAAGACAAAACACTACTTAAATATCTGAGTAGATAAACAGCTCGAAATAAAAAACAAACCCTAATATAGGTGAACTATTAGATAAGATATTAGATATTAGATGTAGATCTGACACAAAATACTTGTAATTCTGTTTTTGCCACTAGATGGCAGTAGCACTCTGGTATAAATATACGTAACTAATGAGTCCATTTAACCCTGACCTTGCTCTACCCTAAATGATCAGTTTACTATCAAATTGTGAAGACAAATACTATTGCTTGAACTGCTACTGAATTAGATTTTCAGCACTGCTAAAAGAACCAAAATAAGTCTATTACCTTAACGCAGGTCTTTCTACATGTTTTGTTTACCTTTACCTCTTCCCTTTAGAGGGATGTCTCTTTTGCATTATCTGTTTCAGACACCTCCTGTTGCCAAAACACTACAGCTCTGAACCTTGCCAGCTTCTACTTCAAATACAATTCTAATAAATACAAATTGAAAAAATACTACAATCTGATTCTTGTTTACAACATTAAGATTTGACATGCTACAAGAAGGAAGGAACTTTAAAAATAAAAAATAGAGGAGGAGGGATCTCTCTTTCATTTATATTACTATTTTGGATCCTACTCTGACAAAGTATTTCACCATGGCGTAGAAAACAAAATACTAAGTGCATCCTTTGTTCAAAATGTTAAACAATGGACAACTTCATATTAGTACAAGACAACAAGCAAAACTATTTGGATTTGGATGTTAGCTAGAGTTAAAAAAACAGTACAACAAGAAACCTGATTGGTATTTACACAATAATTGGCACTGGGTGATAAATGTGTTTATGTGTTTATATGATAACAACAATCTGTTGGACAGAGAGATCAAAGATTTGATTGAAAGAGGAATCAAATGGGCATGAGAGACTAGCAGACGAGACGCACAGTCACACACACAGACAGTGTGCTGCTTACCCGCCAGGGCTAGAGGCCGACAGTAAGGCAGAGTGCAGGAGGAAGAGGAGGAGGAGGTAGCAGCCAAAGGAAAAGAAGAT